CAAGGTGAAAATACAATGCATGCAATTGAAGGCGTCCAGCTTCAGGAGTATGCTTCCGATCAGGGTGTCAAATGTCGTAAAAATGTGCCTTTTGTCAGTAGCAAGTCGTTCTGGGCATGATACCCAAGAACACTTTTGTTAAAGATCTTTATTTAGAGTTTGATCAGGATCCTCAACAATCTGAGCAATGTGAAACGATATGGTGAAACTTTGCGGAAAATGTCTTTTTTGAGATAGACATTCTCTTTTAGGACATACCCTTCCGGCTGGGATAATAGCCCGACGGTCGAACGTAGGAGTGAGTGAAAAGTAAATAAATAAATAAACAAGTAAATAAATAAATATGGAATGAATGAATGAATGAATAGGACAAACTGATAAGACTAAAAGCCGAAATATTTACAAGAAGAAAACGGTCAATTCTTGTTAAGACTGACACGCCTGAACAAGTTGCAGCTAAAGTTTAGAGAATCTGATAAAAGATAAAAGCACTCTCTCTTTGGTGATCATCATGATTTTTAAAATTCTCATAACCTTTTCTCTTGACGTTGGAAGGAGAAAATTAATATTGCTCACTTTTGGGATATAAAAGGGTTGGGGGGTGTCCGTCTTATAACTGAAGAACGGAAGAGACCAACTCTGTCCGTTAGAGAGTCACAAAAAATGATTGATGGATCGGGACGGAAAGTAACTCTTAATGTTCGTTTTAGGGTCCGCAAGAGCCATAATGGGTCTCGGTGTCCGCCTTATAGAGTGTCAGGGAAAATACCTGAAGAACGGCAGACTTCAACTCAAGGTATCCATTAACCAGGGAAGGTGGAACGGGGAGGGTTTTAACGTAACTGTCTAGACCCTAAGATCAAAATTTGAATTCTCGTTTGTTGCCCCTATTGGTCCCTATTCATTTCCTGCAGAAGTAATGGGGAGAAGTTGATAAAATGTCAAGCAAATTCATCTTGTGTGATCGTGCCCGTAATTCTCATGACCACTCTGTTTCAAAAAGCATTGATATTGAAAGGAGAAATTTGATGCTGATCACTCTTAGGGCTTAAAGCAGTTTGGGCTTAAAGGGTTAATATGAATGAGACAGGAGTCTCTTCAGCCTCCCTCTTCAAGTCAGTAGACAGCCCCCCTCCCCCCCACAAAGAGAAAAAGAGAGTTGACATTATAAGAAAAGCAATGAAGAAGACGTTAAACCAATCAAGAAAATGTGAAAAGATGAGGAAATATTCAAGAGTTTTTTTGGATTTGGTGGTCCACACTCACTACTAAGACAGTTGAAGTTTATCTGATGGATTTGATAAGGTTTAAAGAAAGCATATAGCTAAACAGCACTGGAGCTGACAAAGCTTGCGACATATCTGTGAGATGGACGATACTGTAGGTCCGCAGTGCGTATTTCATAGAAGTCACTATATCTTCACTGGTAGCACATTACTCGCATGCCCTGGGTGTGAATTCAACTGATGCATAACCATTTTTTATAATTTCTTCTAATACTACGGTCGCTCCAAGAAGAAACTGAAGCCATTTTTTTTGGGTGCGTGGGGAAGGGGGGTGGTGGCAGGGCAAGGTGTATTGTAGCGAAATGCGCAAATTGCGAATGGAGGAGGAAGAGAGCGCCTTTTTTAAAGAGCTATGCATCAGTCAGGAGCATGTCGTTCCAATCGGCCGAGTTAAGATGCAATCCACCTTTTGAAACTAAATGTATCCTAAGGGTAGCATACAAACTTTTTAAAGCGGAGAAAAATAATGGTCGATGTAGTGGACAACTATACACACCGGTTTTGCTTTTTTTGTTTTCCCTTTATTCACCCGACAGTTAAATCCAAAACTAGAAAGACTCACGCTTTTACCGTATATTAAGTTTAGAACTGAGAAGGAATTATCTTAGCCTAGTTCAAATGTATAAGATTATATTTGGTTACTGTGATATCAATTGCCATCATTACTTTGATATTATAGGAATAACTCGAACTAGAAGTAAGCAGGAGTATAAAATAAGGCCTAAAGTTGCCCGTACAAATTATTTTAAATATTCATTTTTTCATAGATATATTAATGATTGGAACTCTTTGCCTTCTGAAGTAATGTCATCTCCTAGCCTTCAGTCTTTTAAAGTTTCACTGATTAAGTACCTTCGTTCATAATTTACCTTAAAATACTAGGCATAGTGTCTTCAATATTAGTTTATGCATTATTATTAGGCATCTAGGTTTATAATTTATAGTCTTTTAATATATATGTTTATATATTAATTAATTTTTTTTTCCTTTTTTCTTTTTTGGAGGGCATGTCTTGGCATGGGAATTTGGTTTCCCCCTACTACCGTCCTGTTAACCATTTTTGTATTTTTGTTCGATTGTATATGTTAGTATTTGTTCATTTGTATCAGTTATGTATGGTTACGAACTGTGATTAAAGATTAAAGATATTATATATATAAAAAACATATCAGAAATGGACTCTGAACCCATTTATCAAACCGCTTCTTGAATCCAACTACACATATAATTGCACCAAAGCCGGCTGGTTTGCCCAAACATTGCTATTTGCAACACTGTGATTAATATTTACAAAGTCAAAATACTCACAATACTTTGTCATCGAAATGAAGAAATTATCTTTATCTTAGTAACATGAAAATATAGAAGTCAAGAAACACCAATCGCATCATATAAAACTAAATCATTTTTTAAAAAATACAAAATAATTTTTTTTCCAAAGTTCTAGATTTTTGTCATCAAAGATGATTGATTTCTTTTTATTAATTACCAGATCCAGATCACTGACAATTGATCAATTTTTATTGATTGAATATAAGATTGTGGTCATTTTACTTCTGACCCTCACTCGACCCCAGTCTTTTTCAGTTAGGGAGTTGAAAGGGGAGGCATGAAGTCGAGGGAGACCAGCACGGTAACGCAATGCACGCGACATCCCTCGTGAATATGTTCATATTAAACGCAAGAAAGAGAGGACTGAGGGATTGGGGTCTGGCCTGTATTGCTTGAAAGATGGTTAACCCAGGGTTAAGGGAAGCGTTAAATAAAATTTCTGGTCAAAGGACAAGCGTAAATAACCTAATAAGTCTGTAACAGTCGAAAACTGTCCAAGATAGTAAATCCAACTGAAGGTTAAAAGATTAACCTTGGGTTACCTCTTATCAACCTTCAAGTCTACCTAATCAATCGCCTCACGTAGGAGAATCCAAGACAGTCTTGTATTCTAGACTCCACCCCATGGATTCCGAATTCCAGGTATTGGATTCCGGATTCTTTTTCATGACTGGAACTTGAATTATGGATTTCAATCGTTAGTGTGATTCCGGATTCCTTGAGCTGTAATTCCAGAGCCCAGGATTCCCCATTCCACAAGCAAAACTAACTTCCCGGATTGCGGAATCTGGATTCCCTTACATGTGGCTCGCAATAATTTGTCATGTTCAAGATCCCTACTACTTAAAGTGATTTTAGTTCTAATTAAAATGGACACTATTGTAACCAAAATAATTTCAAAGATTTAGCCTGGCTATTGAAGAATTATGTTCATACTCTCCTAACTACGTAATTGGTAAAGGAGTTTCTTAACTCTTCAAGCATTTTCACCAAGTTCTCTTCATTCTTTTTTACTCTGTCCATGGCTGTTTTCTCCATAACTGATCGTACTATTTTCTCTTTAATCTGCAAACCAATACAAAAGTGAATTCCACACCTTTTTCTAGGACTGTCTTCAGATTCAGCTGCCGGAATTTATAGTATTCGACGCCTTTAAAGTTCCGTCAATTTCGATGATGAGAGAATATACTGAAGCTGAAACAGAGAGAACAATCACAGTAAGCAGAGTGTATCGGGTAGAAGACGCAATGGAAACAATTTATGGTAAGTACAATAAAACCCCATGTAACACTAAAATTGTCAAGGGACAGGGAAAATCATTCATTATGACGGGGGTAAGTTATCAGGCTCCCATACAATTTACTATGAAGTATCTTGCAATTGAAGCCCAGGGCTCCTAATCCCCGGGAAACAGCGAAGAATTTAACAATGACCCGGTATTAAAATACCGCTAATTTCCCAGCCCCTAGGGAAAACTAGCGTGTTAAGAGCCCTATATGCGCAGCGTCAGAAATTTAGAGCCCCATAGAATGCAACTCAATAGTAGTAGTAAACCTTTATTTAACTAGGGTAATCCCTTCAGAATACTTAAAAGTATATCTGTTATCAATAGGAGCCCTAAATTAAGACTAATAAAAAAGTTCAAAATAAATAATAAGAAACTAAGTAACTATAAGTTGATAATAGTACAGTATAACAATTAAAAACTAATTCTTATTTACTAAATAATGATTATACACAACTGAGCCATTATAATAAAAACTTTTCTTTTTCTATGGGTTTTGTCTTGGAACTGATTGTCCTAATTGTGTATCCTAATCCCTAAGTTCTTGGCTTTAGTCCTTTCCCACTTCCGGTGACAAACGTGCATGTGAGCTGTTAAAATAAAATCACCACTCAAGGCCAGAGTGTCACTTTCTCTTTCGCGTTTGATCCAGGCTTTGACCGCGTTTAATCTCCGCGATGTCCCATGGGACAGGGCGCCGGCACTTCCACTGACGCATCATAAATAAATAGGCCGAGGTAAAATGTCGTGCGTTATATACCGAGGGTTTCGTTATGTGAGGATTTGTTAAATCGAGGTTTTTCTGTGAAACACGCCACCGTTAGCGTGGGTGGCTAAAAGAGAAAATAGACGCTCGCACCCCCCATTCGTTCTTGCGCGCTTGTCAACTTCCCCCCAAAACGAACAGAAAGAATGAAAAAGCGTCTGGCACCGGTTGTCCTGACGTTGGACAGAGCTACCCACCGGATAAATCACTATCCACTAGGTAAGTATTATGGAAACCAATTGCGTTGTCCAAAGGATAGAGATTTATCTAGTGGATAGCGTGGGCCTGGAGGATAGATAAAATGGACATATACATGGCTAAATATAGTAACTCACATTCGTGATATCCCGGATTCATGTCTAGATGGTCTTCTTGGTGAGGTTTGATGGAGATGGTCATGATCTTCTTGTTCGGTGGCATAACTAGAAGAAAAGTATCAACAGTATTTAACTAACAAAACCCCGACCGTAAATAAGCGCCCATCCAATTTGAATAATCTTGAATAGATTTTTTGGGGAAATTTGGGCATTCTTGGAGGCAAAAACCGAGGAAGGCATGTGGTTATCCAATTTTTTATCCGCCCAACATTTTGGAGACCAACAAATTGACATCTTTTATGTGGCTAAATGGAATTTAGTCTAAGTTAAACACGAAACAATGGTGGTGTGCAGGGGGGGAGGGGAGGGGGTTGCCTGCAGGGGCTTCACATGTTTTACTGCTTGGCTTCAGATGTCAAGTCATTTTGCATTCCTGTCTCGCTATTGGGCAGTTTTTCGCTAGTTTTTTTACCCCAAGCCCTCCCATCCCTCTTGTTTTAGTAAGTATGTGGTAATTATCTTAGATTCCACTGTTTTTTCAGTGTGACGGTGCTTGGTGGTTGCCGCTCACAGGGTTGTCATGGATACCCTACGCGTTCGCCTCGGTGTGATTTGTGTCTCCACCTTTCTGTCAGGCACCATTCCCCAAGCTCATCTATTATTGATGGGTTTAACCCCAAACAAAATGTTAAGCTCCTGTACAAGAAGGCTAAATATAAGTAACAATTAAGCCACTTGTTAAATTCAGCACTTTTTTCAGTGAGAGTTCAAGTAGTTACCTGGGTTTGTAAATTTTGAGTTCGTCCTCTAAAGCAAACACTCGTTCCTTCAAGTTATTTCTTTCGATTAAAACCTCCAGCATTTCTGCTTTGGTATAACGCGGTCGATTTGGATCAAGCTTTATTTCCTTTTCTCCTCGAGTGTGATTAACAACGGCCTTTACTTTTCGCTCTTCTTCAGACTTCTCTCTTTTGTAATCTGGTTTCTCGATCTCACCAAGAAACTCCCAGTCACCATCTTCATGTTCCTCATCATTACCATTTATATCTGATTTGTTCTCTCTCTGTTCTTCTTTTCCCTCAATGCCATTATAATGATTGTCGTGAAACTCAACACCGTTTTCTGTTGCTTCAAGTTCGACTTTCAACCGTGGTGGTTTTGGAGGAGGATTTGCCTCGCTTAAATTTACAGTAACCTCTGTCTTCTCGAAAGAGTTTTGCGGCGTTTCCTCGTCTTCGACCTCTTCAGTTTCGTTAGCATTGTCCTGTTGTTCTTGTAGTTCATTGTCATCATTATATATGACACCTTTCTCTTCAATGATTTCCTCCTCCTGACCCTCTTGCTCTTGTATCGGGGTTGCTGGACGTTTGAGCGTGCGCAGCTCTGTCTGAAGTTCCGCCTTTTCTTTTGCTAAAACGCTTATTCGTGCCTGACTGGCGCCCAGGCTTTTCCGCACGCTCTCGTTGATATTTGTCAGACGATCAATTTGCTCTTCCATCTGAAATAGAGGTTTTGTACAGTACATTACGATGCAACTACCATAACGAAATCCGATCAACGCTTAATCAGTAAAAGAGGTCGAGGAAATCAAGGACGGGATCTTACGGGTTTCACTCGGCATTAGGTTGGCCAATTGTTGGCACGGGAACTCCAAAGAGGTAAATTAGACTGACAGTCCACTCCCCCCTGTAAAAGATAGATCACACAACAGGGCCTAGTCAAACCTAACTCTTGTTGAATAGCAGTTAGGTCACTTCATTTACGTCCCGTTCAAATTGATGTGCAATAGACAGAGGAGACAAGACCAACAGCTTAATAATCAACGTCACCGCCCAATGACGGGATCGCCTGAAGGGGTTCAACCACATAAAGCATGATCCTTACAGATCTTTTAAGACCTGGTTTGTGGTCCGGCCTCCCACTCTGAGCTTTTAAATGGTTTTGACCAGATTCCTCCCACTTCTTATAAAATAAAAACGTTTAAGATCAAGACCGGAGAATTCGTATGTCGATATAAGGGATGACAGAGTGAAATGGTCCACCTACCGCCTCTAGGTCGTTTCTAAAACTGTCGATCTCCATGTTTTTACTCCTGATTGAGTCTCGCTGATTGTCTATAGTCTCCTTCATTTTGTGCATCAACTCCGCATCACCAGGCGCGCTGATGTAAGCCGTTGCTTTGGAAAAAACATGTTAAGTATTAGAATTGTGGACAGCCTGTGAGCGAGCCCTCCATTAAAAATTTGTGGGATCCATTGCCTTTACTCACAATTTCCTAGTAGAGAGCTTGCTGACTGAAGACTTTATTGCCGATACATACAGATATTCATGTTGCTTCTATTAAGAAGCTTAAGCAAAGGCGTCAATCAGTGGCGGATCTAGGGGAGGAGTCCGGGGCCCCCCTTAACTTTAGACCAAACTGAGGCCCGGAGGGCCGAAAATGAATTTTTTTTTGAGACCGCCCCATTAAGGTCCGGATCCTCCACTGCATTTTTAATATGCCTTGACGATACAACATATGTACAGTAGTGCTAAGTGTCCTTAATCTTATAGCTATGATTTTCCCCAGAAAGATTTGAAATTTGCTGATTACTTTGACGGGAGTTTCAACTGTAGTTTTAGGTATCTGGGAAACTGCCCACCTACCCCTCCCCTAAGCCATCATTTTGCCCCAAGTGAGAAGTAAGTGTTAATGTTAGCTTAGGGAAGGGGTAGGTGGGCAGTTTCCCAGAAACCTAAATTGTGAGGAGGACAGATGGGTATTGTTAATAATAAAATTAATCAAATACCTGGTTGACTATTTGCTGTTACTTCGTATTCCAGTCTCAATTTTCTGTTTTCTTCTTGAAGTTTTGTTAACATGGATTTCAGGTGATCTGTTTCCCCTCCTGACGAGATCTGATAAAGTTCCTGAAAAGATATGATGGCGTTAAATAGGCTCTATTATTCATATATATACAGTCAAAGCTCCTGTGAATGATTTGAGCCTAAATAGCAAACCAAGGCGGTCACTCAGAAGCAAAAACACTTAGTAACTACATGTAAGAACAGAAATCTGCACCATTTGTTGTTGTTCCTACAGTGGATGATGAAGTCACGTAATGCAGTTTAACAAACAACTTTTGACCATGTGGAAAAAATCCAGTGGTATTGCCATTCAAATAAAAGGGACCACCTTACAAAACTACCACGGCAACGTCAAAGAGCAATAGGTTTAGTTGGCGAAACAACAAGTCTGCCCCTGCATCACGCCTTTTTGTACATTTCTTTGCCGTCCCTGCACGACTACAACGTGAAATGACCAAATTTTAAGTTTTTTTGAGGACGGGAACGGCAAGGCGATAAATTCTAACACCTCTGTCTGAACTCGGGCGCGGCCCCCTCTCTTCAGCTCCAACATAAATTCCCCTCCCTCCCCTGGTTTGAAAGGACGCGGAGTCTCCTTTTTAGCGAACTTTTCAAGGACCTCGCCGTTGTCGGATCGCAAGGTCCCTGAAACCTCTTTGGAAGCACTTAACCCCTTTTAGCCCAAATATCCTAATAAAAATTCTTCACACCGATCTCCACAGTGGTAGATTTTTGGCCTCTTTGTGGGTACCTGCAGACGTCGTTTCAGTCGTGGCACGTTTTTCATCAAATCGTCGGGTTTTCAACGAAATTGACTGTCGCGTGTAAAGAGTTGTTTTGCGTAGTAACGGTACTAGCGAGCCTGAGCAACCACGAAAACGGAAACAAGAATACAAAAATGCAACACAAAAACAAAAACAAAAACTCTGAACGTACAGCAGACCTTTCAGCAGATTTCTTTGCCGTCATCGCACGACTAACGCTGTCAAACTTGATCGGAGTAGCGAAGGTGATGTTGCACGAGACGATTCGCAACGACGATTTCTTGCGCAACACTGTGTTGCAATGTTGGAACAATGTTGCAGCTGTTCGAAACAACGTCGCAACAATGTTGTAATGCTGTGTTGCGCTAAAAATCGTCGTTACGAATCGTTCCGTGTAACATCACCTTAAGATCGTCGTTTCATCAAAGGTGATCTTGTAAAGTGTGAATAAAGAATTGGATGAATGATCGTCTGTCGGTTCGATTTCGCCGGAACTACCGATAGAGAGGCTCGATCTTGGGGAGGGGCCTTTGGGCTCACACCCCCACCTTATTTTAAGGCCAAACTGAGACCTGTAGGCCAAGAAAAAAAATATTTTATTTTGGGCCCCCTCTTATAAGCGTGCCCCAAAATTACTTATTGACTGAATCCACCACCAGGGACGGCAGAGCCGCGGGCGATAGCGTCCACAATAATTTTGCCGCCATTTCTGCTAAATTGGATGCCCCTGGATAAATATTGATTGAAAAAAAAAGTTGCCAATGCACCTCAAAACGCTGGAAATCGCATTTCCGAGAGTCTGTTTTAAAATTTCAGGGGGGAGAATACCCCTGGATCCCTCAATTTCTCCCGCCGCCACCTTCAGCGGTTGTTAGCCTCCTTCCAAATTTTGCTCTGCAGTCACTGACCACTGGTCCATAGATTTCATTAAGAGAGAATTGCCTATGTTCAATATATTAAAATTCTAATACGACTCAGAGGCTTTCTTGTCACTTTTCTATTTTTGGTTTGGTTTCCTTTGCGCTCAAGTCTCTTCTGGGAATTGCAAGACAATGGAGTTGTGAAAAATTTAGAATTTTAATATATCGAACGTGGGCTATTTGTACGAAGATCAAAGCACTTTTCCCTTGAAAATCATTTCATTAATTTGCTTGACATTTTCTCTTGATGACGTCTTGATTTTTTTAGGCAAAAATTGATGTTGGACTCTCTGGAGACTTAAAGGGTCACCAGGGAGTTATTTGTTTTTCAGTATTTTACAAAATGAAATTTGGAATTTTTGTTGAAATAATTATTCAATAATTTATTGACTGTGGCCACTTCTGGAAGTAACAGGGTGAAACATGATAAATGAATCAGCTTGACTTCCTTGTTCAGTTTTGGTTATTTAAATGTTTTGGCACAGTTTATCACATAAAATAGTCACGTGTTTCTTCTTAAATAACAAAAGATCATCTAACAAAACAAAGGTGAACTTTGATAAATGAATCAGCTTGACTTCCTTGTTCAGTTTTGGTTATTTAAATGTTTTGGCACAGTTTATCACATAAAATAGTCACGTGTCACTTATCTACAAAGAAAGGTGAACTTTCTTTGATCATGAGAGCTTTAAATTAGAGTAAATTTATGCAAACCGGGGTGTATTATAATAATGGCTTTTTGCCCTGAAATTAAGACATTTCTTACCGGTAAGTCTAAAAGTGCAACGAAAGAAATTAATCAATCTCACTTCTTACAATAAATTTGCTCCGGTTCAGTGAACTAAAAGTAATGTACTTATTCCTCGTATCCAAAAGGTTTGCTGACAGTCAGCACCAAATAAAATTTTCACATTTTTGGCTTAGTCAGTTGGGTCACATGAGCCATAATGAGATGATGTCATTTCCAACATTAAATAATGCCAATCTAAAAATGAAAAAAAAAAAAAAAAAAAAAAAACTCGGTTTGAATGACGTTGTGTTCTGAATGTACTCATTGTACTCACTACGAAAATTTTGCGTGATACCTAATTTTGTGCAATTACAGGGATAAAAATTATCTCCCTTTCTAACGGCAAACACCGTATATTGAAAGTTTCTTTTTAATTGATTTTGCGTATTGCTTGCTTTCTTGATGATCTTGATGGCTGTGTGTATCTGCTTCAAAGCGGAACTTTGATCCCGCCACAACTTGACATAGTGAGTCAGTTTATGAAAGAATAATAGATGGTCAGACCTAACGAACAATTTTACCTTAGTTCTTACACGAGCAGTTCAGTATGGAATTAATTGTGTATATAGTCAGGCGGTTTTGCGGTGAAAGAATTTCCGCATAATATAACATGAAGTAAACAACTTAACATATCGAAACAATATCATAACTACAATGTTCCAAAACGGAAGATGTCAAATTTTGGGCAAATAACCTTTGTTTCGACCAAGGCGCAATGCTTTTTTGCATGGTTCAGCCCTAATGTTCAGAGAACCCCCAGTAACCACTTTAATACAACTCACTTACAATAATTACAATGAACAGTACACTGAATGACGCAACCACTTGTTGTATTCGATCGATCCTTTGAACACTGCTGATTCGATTTTAAGTGCCCTGAGTAAGCCAACCACTAGCCTCTAATGTGATACCTAGCGGATAATAAGGCAAATTACCCATCCAAACAAGCAATGACAGCAATCCGAACCGAGAAGAAACCATCATCAGTCGATTGCTCATTTTAGTACCCATAATTAATGCTACGCGCGTTCCGACACAGAATAATGAAACACTGATCGAAACCTGAACTTACCTCGTCTAGTCTCCTTCTTTGGCTTGCTTCCCGCTTTATCTCCGTGTAAAGTCTCTCATTTTCGAGTTTCAGCTCGGCGATTTCGAGTCTGTTTTTCTCCTTTTCAGCTACCACCAGTTCGAGCTTCTCAAGGACACTTATTATCTTCGGCATCAAATCTATGACAGCATCGTGTCCAAAACGTTCGATTACCCTCTCTATGTCTTGCCCTATAAGCGAAGCATCTTCGTAAACATCGGCAGTAGTCAGATCTGCAGCCATGATTCAATCACAAGATGGTTGAGTTCAGAATATGTCTGTGTTTATCTGTCGATGGTTCCAGAGATGTTGCAAGACTCTCCGATTAACTGCACACAGTCCAGATCTTGCGGACGCACTCACATGGAAGGCTTTTTACGATCCTGGCAGTTCGCAACCCTTTAAATTTGATTATGAATGAATCTCAACGGCTTTTAGTTAAAAAACCTCGTGAACATAGATTTTGTACGCAAGTAACCTTACCCGACATGCATGTTTGCATTGACAGTAATTTTTGCTTGTGTCTTTTGTTCTGAGCCTTCTAATTTCCGGTCTGTCAATCAGTGTATCAGCTTACTTCCGGTCCCTCAACACACTAGCCACTAGCCAGCGGTTGTTCAATTTCAATATGGCGGAACAGGAAGGGTTTTGAGGGATGAGGCATGGATTTGATCTATAACGTGCTGTGGTCAACAGAAAAGCCTTTAAAGAGGTAAAAGGAATCTTAAGTACTTTGATTATAGCACATGCGAGTCTTGGTTCTCTTGCGTTACCCTTGCATTGTTTTTGTCTTTGTCCAAAATAACATGTACAACTGCTGAAGAAAGCTGAACCAGAAAAAAAGCTTGGGCTTGTCATTATCGTTGTAACAATTATATTTATATCAGGTGTTCTGGTGATTTCTGAAGGTTGCTAAATTTTATGACCTTTTAGTATGTTGTAATAAAGGGCTGAACAGCAACAGTGCATTTGTAACAGCACTGTTTACTGGACGTTTTTGAGTGAAAAATGAATTCAGTTTTTCACTTTAATGAACAAGGATTTCCGAATTGTGAGTCAGACTTGAGAACTTGTCCTATGTGAGTGTGATTAATGCTTCTGATCTGCAAGTGCATAAGTCACCCACAATGTGGACATGGGATAAGGTAACTCGTCAAGTTACCCGAAAGTCATCTCACCTGAGGTTATGTCTCCTGAAACCAGGGTTATGTCGCCCAAAATATATTTTTAAGTTATGTTACCCAAAATTTTATTAGGTGCAATGCACCTTGGCTTGATCACTCTACTGCTCGTAATAAATTATCCATTGTTGGGGTGAGATAAAAAGCTTAAGAGCTTAAGGAGTTGGTGAGGTCAGTGTAAGCCTTACAACTAGTCGAAAGGGTGGCTACGCCCCTGCTAATGCATTGTAAATGATTACTTTTATAGAACTAGCAGTGAGGAGCGAGGAGCAATGGCTGCTTTCGTAGGCTAATACAGAGCCTGAAGCTTCCAGATTTTTTTTTGGTGACTTCATTTTCTAAGCTGTGCTCCTCACATTTTTTTAGCTGAGCACCTAAAAATTTTACAGACTTGGGCCTAGAAATTTACAACTGCTAGCACATATTCTCCTGAAGCCAAAAATAAACTTTGAGCCCTGTTAAGGGAGCTGGTTTAGAGAAAAACAATCAACAGTAGCAACAAGGTTTTAAAAAATCTTTCTTTAATATTATTATTACCTCAATTTGGCAAAAAAAAATTACAGGTGTAGTCTATGCTTTTCATCAGCCTGTAAATTAGACTACCTTTACCTACCCTGTTTATGAAGTAGCTGATATACATTTTTATTGATACAAAACAAATGTCTAAGCATTATTCTTCTGAATGTTCTGTAGCAATCTTTGTGGAAAAGTTGTGGCTGCTTGGTCCTGCAGAAATCTAATAGCATTCAGTACTGGGTACAGGAAACTTACATGTAGTACTACTGAAGCGAGCAATGCATGCTCTTCAAATGACCAAAATTCAAGGTAAAGATACGATAATACTAGTATATGATAATTGTTATTAAAGTATGTTGTCTTGCATGTTTAAAACCAACCTTGTTTTGACAGTAACTTAACTTCTTTAGGTCAATAATGTAATGCAAACGAGCATTAAGCTTATTCTAATTTCAAAAAGTAGAATGTGTTGAAAAATGTTTCCTTGCATGTACATCACTTATAGCCAAAAATTATTTGTTAAAGGTTACCATCACTCTCCTAACATTTTCACCATTCTTCTTAATTTGTTCTTTCTTTCCCCCTTCATCGTAATAACCTGTTTTTTTAAGTGTAGTTATCCTTTGTAAAATGTTCTAGATCACAAATAACAAATGGCATCCACATCTTTGATCCGGATACACCATGGGATGTTTGCAGGTAATTATGTTTATGCTGTGTGTCTTACCTTATTGCTGGTCAATATGAGTGAAATTTGTCCATATCACAAAAGCATGCACCAAAACATGGATTCTTCTTTTATTTTTTCTTTGCTTGTACTATTCCACACTTTTGCAGGGTTCCTAGTACCATTCTCGTATTAATTTTTCACACATGCTCAAGTCCTTTTGCTTGAAGATCATGGCTACATTAATCTTATGACCAAATCAATGTATGACTTTTGCTTTTTAGTTGTGAGCTAGGGGTAGTGACAAATGAGCTTCTTGGTATCCTTGTTACATACATTTGTATCCTTGAACCTTTACAGTAAATATACATTGTATTTTGTATGTAAAATCCGTTCTTAATTTAAGGTCATGTAGAGAAGTATAATAATTTCAACCTGGTCTGATCTGGAATGTCCTTTGTTGCCGGGTTCTAATCATTTGTGGGGTACAATGGAAATTCTGGTTTAAACTGAGAACAGATCTCGCCTACAACATAATGTAGGTGAAGCCATATTCCAACCTTTTCATGAATTGCCCTAGATTTGGTCACCTGGCCTGAGAAATTTTAGGTTAGCAAAACATTACATTTTTCAGTTGCTGGTCTTGGACTAACTTTCAATATAATTTTGCCTTGTTAACGACTGATGACTCTGAATCTAAAAAATTGCTCACAATAGTGGGTACCTCTGGATGATGAAACTAAATTTTGTACATTGTATTCATTACTACAACTGTGCATAAGTGAGAGTGATGGAGCTTACAGGGTCTTTGAAGAGAAAAAATAGGAAAACTGAGACCTGTCCCAACATCTTATTTCAAAGACTTGTTCTACAAAGTATTAACCAAGTGTATGCAATAGAATGCTGTTTTAATATTGTATCATTTTTTTGAAACTCAAGTTTTAGTTCTGGTCACAAGGAATTAATTCAAAGTCTGACATGGGATGGCACTGGTTCAAGACTTCTTTCTGCCGACCTTGTTGGTGTGTGCAAACTGTGGGTTATGAAGGTAAAAAATAATGCTGTAAGCAGGCCTGCAAATAATGTTTCTTTTGTCTGACTAGGCCACCATTTTGGTCTAACAGACTAGAAACGTTGTTGCCCATGGTTGTTCCCTGGTGCCTTTATAATTTTGCTCTTGTGAAACTAAGAAATTTATTTTTTTCATAGAAATCTAACACTGGGCACCCTGCATTTTACAGATTCTGAGCACTTTATGTGTAGGCTCCCTTCAGGTTTTCCTAGAGCTCAGCCTTACAAAGGACTGTCACACATACATGCATGTATTATTTTAAGTGATACTTTAATTTTATGGTATCCGTTGTTTTTTTACTTTTTTGTTACTTGTTTCAATATGCTTCAACAGGGCCACAACAAAAAGTCTGCTGACAGACTCTTTAAAAATCCTGAATTAAGAGTTTTAAATTGACATACTGAAAAGCAAATTCTAGTTGTTGTTTCATGATATAATTTTAACAGGACCACATGGTTAACGACTGGGAGTGTGTGTGTACAGTTGATGTTGGTGAAGGAGAAAGATTAGTGGCTTTGTCATGGATAGACACTGGTGTCAAGGTACAGTGTGATACTTTATAAAGAAGATAAAATGAGCTGGCTTGCACGATTTTCATTTGACTGGTGTTGTGACAATGGCACAGGTTTAGCGACGTTAAGTTTGCTTCTCACACGATAATAAAGGACTCGAATTCTGAGTTTCTCCGTCTCGATCAGAAAGTGAAAGTTTATATCCCTGAGTTTTGCTCTCGATTAATGCTCACCGTGCAAATAATTTTTTTAATGCTTGTCTCATCGACGACTGATGAAATCGGCACTTTGTGACTGGTTTTTTTAAAATCGCGAGTGTAAGACTAGTAATGGTTTTGCACGATCATGTGTTTAACATCGGACTGAAAGTAACTGTCACGCTATTCGTTTGTTAAAAGTCCTTAGATGTAAACCGTTAGACAAACGTTAAAAGTCCCTAGATGTAGAGCGTTAGATAACCGTTAAAACATTAGAACAAACTGCGTAACCGTTAGAACATTTTCTTCATCCGTTAGACATACTTAGTTAGCCGTTAGACCGTTAGGAGAAAGCGTTAGAACGTTTTGATCATCCGTTAGGCATAGAAAACCGTTAGAACGTTAGGACAAAACGTTAGAATGCTGTGAAGGCAACAATCCGTTAGCTATCCGTCCGTTAGATTTATCTAGTGTTTGTCAACAATCAATAAAAGTAATAGGCATTGAAGAATCTTGTGTGCTCCATAATTCTCTGCAGCAATAATATTTTTTTAAAAAAAAGTTCTCAATGAGCTCTTTCTAATCATCTAAAAATTGCAAGTAAATTATTTTGATTTAATGAATTGGTAACCTGGATGATACCTTAAGCTTTGTACAAGGGTTTCATTAACCCTGGATGAATTCTGATTTCACCTGAGAATGGATTTTACCTGCATTGCTATAGTGCGTAAAGCAATTATGTAACTTCTTCAATAAAACTTCTTTAATACGTTAACAAACACGACACACCTCAGTCTAACAAAAGTGTTCAGTGGCAGTGCAGTAGTGAACAGCCACTTAATAACACTGTACAAAAGGTCAAACCATGGCTATGTATTTTTTTTTCACATAATTTAATGTTTGACATAATTTATTTTTTTAAAGAGCTAAAGAAAAAGTTTTACTGAGTTGTACTACTCTATCTTGATTTGGTGATAATGACTTGAGTTTTGATGCAGCATTACTTACAAACAGAATCTGTTCAGCTTGTTTGGTGATGATTCTCATTTTACTGCACCTGTTCCTAAGAAGCTCAGTGATCGCTTCATAACCAACAAAAGCAAACCCCCATTGGTGGAGATAGGAGGCATGAGAGCCCGGGACGGTTGGGTGGCAATCAGTGAAACTGGTCTAGTAAGTTGTCTCTTGATTCTTGCCCGGCCCTCATCATTTTTTGTTTTATTTTGTTTTTAGTCATTACAGTCAAGCCAGGTCAAGCGTACCCCACAAAATTCCATTAATGAATTTATTGTTCGAAAGTTGAGTCTGTTGGCAGTTGTAGATTTCAGATTCATCTCTACATTCTTGCATGCGTAATGAGCCGTGTATTCACATGTGATTCAGTTATGAAATTTCTACCAGCTCAGTTTCCCTGAATTTGATGTAAATGTCTTCTAAGAATTTTAATTCATTCAAAGATTTTCAATCTGACCAAATACAAACAACTTCTCGTAAATTATTCACTGCTTATTACGCATGCAGTAATTCTGATTTGAATTTGACACCAGTTACGGGAACGACTAACGGATTCATTTTTCAAATAATCAGTTCATAATAGAATCTTGGGGGGGGAGTACGCTTGACCTGTTTTGACTGTAGAAAATGACAGAAAGACAATTCTATTTTGAGGAAGGAAGGGGCACTAGGGCCTTCTGAAACAAGGCAGGAAAAAAAATTGAAATCCACTTGCTCTGTGAGCAAGTAAATTTCAGTTTCCACTTGTCCGCACCTAAATATAACTTGCCCGAATGGAACAAAATGCCTTATCATCTTAAGTGAGGTACTGTACATAATCAATATAAGTTATAGATTATAACAATTAACTACTGGGTTTGACCAATATGGTGATGGGAGGAGTTTCTGTCTGGAAAATAATTATCAGTTGCCGACACTGACACTTTCAGACATACTCACTGGACCACTAATGCTAATTTCTCTTGCCCACTGGGTCACCAAACTTCAATTTTTACTTGCCCATGATCAAAATTTACTTACCCCAGGCAACCAATGCTTGAGTTTTTTCCTGTCCTGTGAAAACCACTAAATTAAAGAAAAATATAATTGAAAAATTGGAACACCTGTAGGCTTCAACTATCAAAAAAAGGCACTCAAATATCCAGCTGTGATAAAAAAGGCTTGAATTTAAATCAAAAGAAAATAAAAATGTAGCTCAAAACTTTGTTTGCAAGATGACAATTTTCACCAAAAGAATTATTCTTTTGGTGAAAATTAACAGCTTGTGTGCAGTTTTAGTCATGTATATTGTATACAAAGCAAAAAAAAAAAAGAACAGAAAACTAAAACTCTGTTTATTTTATGAAAATTTTTCTTTCAGATTTGTGTTACAACCACAAAACCTGAGGTACAAATCACAAGAAAGTGCTTGGCACAGGTGCGGGCACGAGTTGCTGTAGCTGACCTTGCATTTACCAACAGTAAGTTAAAGATCCTGACCTGAAATTTTCCTCTGGATCTATCAGTTACCCGGTGTCTGATCTAGGATTTCCAGTTAGGGGGCCAATGTGTCCCAGTCAACAATATTCAGTGGAACATTTTGTTTTTTGGAGGGTCTTATTTGTTTTTTATTTTTATGTACTCAGTGAATATGTTACCAACAGATGTCATATTCTCTGAATTTTTGTTCTTGCTTTACTTTTAATCTTCTAAAATGTAAACCAAAATATTCTTTGAAAACGACTTTGCACATGGAGAAATAACATTTCCTTGTGTCTTTTTCTTTTGAAAGACAATTTGAAGTGCGCCAAAATGACCCAGAACAGGTTTTTGAAGGAGACATCTTTGCTCAAACCGTGGCAATCCCGCAATGGCATGCTCTAGATCAGACACTGGTTTACCACTTTAATTTTGTTTAGCTTTTATCTCCTATACCCCTTTATAATTTTATAATAATATTATACTTTATTGAGTATGCACCTTGTTACCACTGCAAGGTTCATTCGCATAAATCTTAGCATCAGTCATAATAACTGATGATCTGCTTCCAGCCCAGTCAAACTCTTTAATGCCAGATGTTAGCAGTCTGAGTGATATTAAGACAGCGTTCATCAGGAAATTGAGTAATTTCAATTTTCAGTGGACAAAAAGAATAATAATTTTAAATTATTGGTCTGATTCTTTTTTACACTTTTCAAGGGCTATAGATGTAATAACACCAAAGAAAATTTCTTATGAGAGCCCGAGAAAGTAAATGCCAAATTTCACAAAATGACATCTTACACATGACATTTTTAGAATTTTACCCATGTTTTCACCATTCTTGTGAAATTTGACATATTATATATTTTTTCGGGCTCCCATGAGAAGTAGTCGTTGGTGTTATCAAAAGAATGCAGTATTGAAATTGTTCTGGTAGAAGGTTTTTGTTCACTTATCTAATAATTAAAATTCCTCAATTTCCTGATGGATTACCTGTATGCTGAATATTACAGCTGTAGTACTGTATACACTGTACATTGACTATTTTTCAGGATACTCAGGGCTTAAAGAAAGTCCTGTCCCCTTGTCCTGGACCAGTAGATTGTCATTTTGGGCATAATAATTATTTCTAACCTCACTTGTCCAATAGACAAGGGTCCAGGCGCCTGTTTCTTGCTGGTAACTTTTTGGGCCCTAAAAGCTGTTTCAATTTTGCGGTGTTTGCGTTCAAAATCAAACTTTCACTAATTTTGAAAATGATACAATGAAACTATGAAATAATGAAGCAAAATTGACCAGTTTCTGAGCTAGGAACTGTGCTACTAATGAACAAGTTTTGGTTTTAAAATTTGCCTTTCAGTTTGGGCCCAAAAAGTTACTTGGCCTTTCAAGAAAATGGCCCCAGGCAAGTCATCTGGTAATTAAATCATTAGGTACACTAGGTATTGCAGCCGAAGTATGCAGTGACCCTCCATGGCAAAACAAAAATGTGAGAGATGCTTGTGTAAAGGACAAGCTGGATTTTAAGCTTTTTTGGAGCTCTAATACAACCTTGGCAATAGAGTGTAACATACATGTGTTGTAGCCTTGGGTGATTTTAAAAACTTAATTTCATGATCAAACATTTAAGCAATGAACCCCAAAGTAATTTTATCTGGGTTGGAACTTTTCTGCTCTAATCTATAGTAAGATGATAGTGAGGAGGCCAGAATCAGAATCAAATTTGTCGTCTTACTGTATTTCTTTTCTGTTAATTTTCTGGCTTTAATTTTATCACCCCTTTTCTTGCCCAAAAATGTGTAGTGTAAAAGGAGACTTTGCTAGCATATACTTGATTTAAAGAATGTTAAAGTAACTTTTTTGGTAAAAATCTTCTTTTAGAGGGCAAAGTGATTGTGGTTACAAACGATGGTGAATTATGCAGTGCAGTACAGTTCTACAGAGTTTCTTTATCTGGTGGTCCAGGTATTTAAAAGTTGCTAAAATCAACTGTTATATCAACACCATATTAAGTATTAAGTATGGAGGAGAAGTCTCAAACTTCATTACAGCCACACTGTAAAATACCCTGCGAATCAAGAGGTGCAGGTGGGTGACGAAGAAAAAGGGTGTGGCTCTTTTCTAACCCAATCCCTGCTTGCTTCCCCTTTCTCTGTTCCAAGAAGACATTTCCACGAGAACTCCAGCTTTTGTCACTCCTCAAAACCAACATCTCCAAATTGAAATTCGATCTTCAAAGTGTCTCCAGTTTGTTGGGAGCTTTTAAAGGGCCAGATGTTTATCATTTCTTGAAAAAGTCAAGTGTCGCCCCCTCTTAATAAGGTTAGTTCTAATCCCCACAGTCGAAAGCTTGCAAGCACCCCGTAAAGAACAGTCTGATGGTAGTGTGTTTTTTTAAAAGGATGAGGGAAGGGCTGAAAACAAGAAATCCTTTTGTAGTTCAAGTTTTAAGTTTCGATTCATAAATAAAAATTAATTGCACGAAACATCACTAGCCCACAAAATAGCTAAAGTTAATCTAGGTGGGCTGTGAGACTTGAAATCGAATACCGTAAATTCCCTATGAACCCCTTCGAGAAGGCTTTTTTATTTCAAGCACGTTGAAGGGGGAAGGGGCTTAATAGAGAGGGGGGTTTATTTGAGAGGGGATTTCATTGGTTGAAAGAGCAGTAGAGCGTCCCGTATCAGCAAATTAAAGTACACTTACCGATAAGGGGGGCTGTACTGATTTTAAACCATCCAGAAGATGGTATCAATTCGCCATGAAGAGCTAGGGTGCAAAGTGGAAAAGCATGACGAACATGACGTTGGGGGTATTGCAGCCGAAGATCAAAGCAATTTCAAACTTACAGCACATGAATAAACCATACTGGATCATTCCAGCTTTTAATAATTTGGTTGTGAAGAATAAGGACGGAAGGGAGGTGAACTTAAAGAGAGGGGGACTTAATAACTTTCTTCCCCCGAAAAAAAGGGGGGGCTTATTAGAGAGGGGGGCTGAATAGAGGATTTACACGGTAGTAAAGATTAGTAGAGGTTGATAAAGCGTGGTATGCAGAGTATTTTCCTGGAGCAAATCTACATTGTGAAGACTGTTCGTAGCTTTATATAACACAATGTTGTTGTTTTTTTTCAGATGGCTGCCAGATCACCTCTGATCCACTTCCCTGTTTGTTTCCTCATTCTCACAGTGAGCAAGACTGTAAGTAATTTATTTTCCTTTAGAAGACAGTTAAAATTTCTTTACCCTTTTTGTTTTAAATTGCACTAGAATGGGATTTCGTTTTCTGACCTGCATTTCTAGTCCTAGTAAAAGTCTTTATTTATTTACTTATTTATCGGAGAACTTGACATTCTAAAACGAGGAACACTCTACGAGGTCTAGATTTTTAGCAGAGCACGCGCGTGAACCCGAGCCATTTTGGCAGGAAAACTCGATATCCGTCGTCTTTCTACCACGGGTTGTAGTGGCGGAAAAATGAGTTATCAAATGTTACAAGTTTTATCATTATGCATTCATGGGAGGTCTTAACCTCCTCCAATAAAAATAACCATGCTCACTTTTCTTGAGAAAAAAAGTAAAATGACTGTGCCTGGGATGTCTATTTTTGGGAATACATGAAAAAACACTTTAAGTCAAACTTCTTCCTGGCGGTTGTCTTCGTCCTCGAATCTAAAGGACTCTCTTTTTCAACCGGACAACTTTCTGGTCCAACTTTCACTGAGGGTTTCATGCAGCTGATGCGAACATTTCAAGTGAATAACGTTGTCTTATTGGAGTTGTAGTAGGCTTCACAGTAATGAGTCAGTGTACACGTTTTAGAATCACCGTCTACAATGTTTTCGAATAACTATATTTGCCTACTTTTAGCTGTTTTTGGTTTAGTCATCTTCTGTCAGCTTCGCTATGTTAATGGGTGATTTTTTTAAAGCGGAATTTGATTTTTCAGTTAGTTCCTTCTTTTTTCAGTTGCAGAATACCGTGTGAGTAACATCCAATTTTTATCCAAGAACTCTGGAGAAGGAGTCTTAGTTTGCACCTTTGGTGAGTGTGATATGCATTCACTTTAGTTTCCGGATTCAAAGTCTCTGGACACGCGACCCAAACCGGAATGTTTTTATTTAGAATTCATGCATTTGCGTGAAAAGGGCAAAGCGGTTCCCTTAAAATCTTCTGAAATGTAAACGTAGCCATTCTAAAACTTAGATACTTTCTCTTTTCGTCATTTTGTTATGAATAACTTTATAGCTTGCTTTTATTATAGGGATTACCAACGTAACTCAACGTGTAACGGGAATAGGGCCTTCGAAGGGTATCAGCTTTCTTTACTATATCTTTACTGTATCAGCTTTACTTGACCTTTTCAGTGGTTTGTGGTGACAATAGGAACAAATAATCTGAACACACCAAAAGTTTTATTGAGTCTTGATAAACCGATCGGGCATAAAATTCATAGTGCTATCCACGGGATAAATCACTATCTAGCAGATAAGTATTTAGTTTGGAAAACCAATTGTCCTATCCACTAGAGAGAGATTAATTTTATCAACAGCATTATTCAACTTACAAACATCTGGGGTTAGATGAATAGCCCCAGCCGCATTATGTTTGTATGCAGCCATACAAAGATAATCAGGGTTGCCACGGTCAGGGAAAAGTCAGGGAAAAACGAAAACTTTTGAAGGTCAGGGAAAAGTCAAGGAAATTTTTAAAAATCAGGGAAAATCTTTGATATTGTCAAAGTCAGTGAAAAGTCAGGGAATTCTGTTTTCCGGTTTAGAGTTCATAAGTTTTCTTCAAGATTTTAAAATGCATTTTCTTTCGGGAAAGATGAAAAGTATGCTGCAAAGCAAGCAAAGCAATCAATTTGACACTCTACGCCTAACACATGTAGTAGTTGTGGTCAGTGGTTTTCGTTGTGATTGCTTTCTTCCAAATTCCTTCTTCCTCTTTCCACGAAAAGCTGAAATGGTTGAAAATGAAGCGAAAAATATCGATAGCCTACAAAAAAGCTAAAGCGAATGTAAACAGTGATTGTTTCTCATTAATAAAGGTCAGTGAAAACTGTTTAAGGGAATTTTTAACTTTGTGATGAGTGACAACCATGATAATGGCTGCATACATTGTGTTTCAAATCAATGGTAACTGGAAAAAAGGCGTCGTCATCATCCTCACTTTTTCTTTCTTGATTTGTTTTTTCATCATTAGGAAAAAGTGGGAGTTGCGTGAAACGGTGGGAAATGAAGAAAAGTGAAAAACAGATACATGAGAGATTCCAACAGAAAACCGCTGGTCATTTACATCCGAGCATGCCGAACTACAGTGTACCAGTGTATGTAAGTAAATGCAGCAACAATCACATTTACTTGTGACCAATGAGGCTGTTTGGGTGACAGGTTTTTTCCTTACTAAATTTGCTCTCGGCTGCATGTCTTACGCCAGAGAAGAAAAGGTGTTCTTGCGCCCATGCATCTTTGGGAAGAAGTTGTTCAAAGAATATGTTATAATAAATGATCGTCATGTTAACTTCAGTGACTTGTCCCTAGTCGTCTTCCTATTCCTCCTTCCCATCACTCCCTGGGCAAAAGGGTGTTTGAATTTCGAAAGAATTTATTTTGTAACATTAGGCTGCGTGCAAACGGACGCAATAACTCCCAACATTGTTGCGCCAACAATTTTGGAAGTCGTTGCGTGCGTGTTGGCAGTGGTCTGCAAACGGATGCAACAACTCCCAACAATGTTGGGACCTGCAGTGATCCAACATTGTTGCGCTACGCTTCGGCGATCACGGAACAAAAGAAATGTTGGGAGTTGTTGGCTGAAAAGTTTGACCGGTTTCAAACTTTGCGCAACAACACGCAACAACATCCAACAACATGCAACAGGGTGTGCAAATGGACGCAAGATGTAACATCCAACAATGTTGCATCCGTTTGCACGCAACCTTATGTTATGTAATAATATAATTCTCATGATCTTTCTGTATTTGTACCGTATCTCATTCCAGGAATGGACCATCATTAACACGTATAAAGATCCTGCCAATATCGTATCACTGTGCCTCCCGCGGTTACCAACGCCTAAAATAGATTTCTCACCCATCAGTAACGTCTTAACATACCCTGCATCAATCTTGTTGGTTCAATATGACGATGATAAGCTTCAAATGTTGACCAGGTAGTGTTTTATTTTAATTTTACAGTCAGTAACTGCACTAGGTATAAGATAAGATTTTAAGTCGTACACTTTAGTCACTGGAATAGTCAAAAACGTTTTTTCTAATCAGCCCCTGGTTTAAGAGAACACTTTAATGGCAATATCTGACTGCTTGTGCTGTGTAGTGAATAAAATGAACGCTTGTTCAAGCTCGTCAGTCATCAGGCAGAATTAAATTTTAAAGCATCTGCAACCCTGATTGCCATACAGTAATCAGGTTGATGCATGCATAACAGCCAAGTGGCTCTAGAGCCCTGATAAATGAGTTGGAGCCCTCCATTTTATCATTCCAGAGTGACACCGGTCGAACGCTGTCTAAGATAGCTTTTATCACGATTCATATGCTAAATTTACATGTACTTTCCTTAAGCAGAATCAGTCTGAGATAGTGTAACAGCGTTACTGCAATCTTACCTTCAGTGAAGGTGAATAATGTATAACAGCGAAGGCATTAGGTTTTGTTAATTCATGCCTTAAAAAACCGATCACCGTAAAAAAGCTGTTTGTCTGTCTATCACTTAACATTTCATTTGCATTTCATTTTTTAAAGTACAAAGCAAGCAGCCTGTAAAACGATCACACTTGACGTTCCTGCTCATCACATGGATGAGGGAAAGAGAGTTTGTTACTAAACTGTTTATTCTTTCTACCTTTTCAGTGTTGGCCTGAAACCGATTGGCTCATTTCGCACAAAACCTCAAAGTTCTGACGCTGACTTAGGTAGGTATTAGTGATGGTCCTACATATATAGGTACAGATCCTATGTTAATCTATACGCACCCACAGCGTGGAACGCTTTCAGGCCCCGACCGATATTATTGAATCCGCAACTTTTTCTATTTCGGCTCCACTACGCAGTACAACATGAATAGAAAAACCATTAGGTTTATTTTGGCTGTTCCGCCGAGCTCCGCAGATATAACAATACATTATACAACAACTTCTATTTCATTCAAATATGTGGTGTAAGAACTAGAACAGAGCTGAGCGACAGTTTACACAGAATACTGTCAGAACAGAGGCCAGAAAAAACCTGCCGGAAAAAAACCTCAACAAGGAAAAAAAGTCGGCAGGAAATCTGGGTAGGATCCATGGCTCATGCTCTGAAAAGCCCATCCTACGAAGGCTACACGGCTGGAAGGTCTTTGCCCTTATTTACAAAACAAGTATTCCAACAAAGGACGGCAAACTCTAAATAATTTAAGAAAACGCAAACAAGCTAAGAAACCCCTGGAAAAATCGAACTGCAACTAGTAAATCAAATATATACTACAATAAATAAATAAATAAATAATAACATGAGCTAGACGAGGTGTCGGCCTAGAGTGCTTTCCCACGTGATAAGCATCCCTTTTATAGCGCTCCATTCTACCCATACTGCAATTCAACTGCCCCAGTCCCCACTGCTGCCGTGCCGCAGAAATATTTCATTTCCGGCTAATTCGTATCCACTCAAACGCCGGAAATTCCATTTTCGGATACGGCTTCCGTCCACACGTATTCGGTGAATCTGGCATACGAATCCGCAACTTTTTTAATCGGCTCTCCAGAGTGGAAATTTTGGAATACGCTATGAATCCGGAATCATGTCGACGCTAAATCCGGATGTTTTTTTTCCAGTGACGTAACAATTAAGATCGAGCCCAGGGCCGGGTTGTTCAAAGCAGGGTTAACCCAGGGTTAGTGCAAAATTTCAGTTCAGTTATGAAAGCTTAAAAAGCAAACTCAGTTTTATCCTTTTTATCTACAACTTGATGATTTGATGCTGTAAAAAGAATCGAGAAAATCATCCGGGAAAATGCTTTTAAACAAAGAAAAAGAAACTCAGGTTAAAATTTAACCCTGGGTTAGCGTTAATCGGCCTTCAAACAACTGGGCCCAGTTCTTTACCGTGAATACTGTATTCAAGATGGCAACCTCGGTCCCAAGTTCTCTCAAGGAAGAGCAAGATGCATGCTCCGTTGCCAATTTTTCCAAAGGAATTCTGGGTACAAGAGTGAATCCGAATACCTGTCGGATACCTGGACCGGCGAATTCGATTTGAATACAGATACGCGTGGACGTGGAAATTTTGAATCGAGAAAGAAAGATGCGGATTCAAAAATATCGGATACGTGTGGACGGGGCCTCAATCTGTTCAACTCTTCGCTACCATTTCACTCAGTCACCTTCATCTACCGAAATGAGTTTCTTAATAAGTGGTTTAGTTACTATATTTCATGCTCCAAACCATCAATAACTAATTAAACCTTCCACAGGTATCCCAGCCAAGAAAGCCCGCACGTTAGGACCAAGCTACAGCCCAGGATGCCTCGGTGCCATCTGTTTTTCCCCTTGTTGTTGCTGCCTTATGGGAATTACCATGACCGGAGATGTGCGCATGTTCAAACTGCATCACCTGGCAGGCAAAGGTAAGCCTCAGTAAATTGTAGTGATCTCTATCTGATGATCCTGGAAGGGGAAGGGAGGTTGTTTAGTTGGGTACGTCGCTTCAATCATTTTGAACTTCACAGAACTTCGAGAATTTAAAGGACGTTGATGGTACTGAAGAGACCTGACTGGAGGCATGTTTGTTAGTCCATATCCCCAATTAATTGTGGAGAGATACTAACCGGCGTACAAAAATCTAGATCAAAGTATATTCCTGTTCTAGAATTGATGCGACCAATCGCATGCGCCATAAGAGTGAGCAACAGAACATAAACACGTAAGAAGAAAACATTGTTCACCTACTGCATAAGTTGTTGCAATTTCGTGCTTTTTAACGTTTTAATAGTATTTGCATTTGTACGCGCATTTGATCTTTTCATTTTATTTCATATAATTCAATTAGTTAATTAATTATTGATTTTTTTGTAAGAGACAATGGTATTTTATAATGGGTGTGAGGATGTAGTAATCCACGAATACTTCCGTTGCGGAGTTCAAGGAAGCGTCTGACGCGCCAATTTTGCCAGGATAAGACATACATCAGCCGAATTTACATGTAACGTTCCTGTTTCAGAGCGTTAGCCTGGCAGGCGCTTGGAAGTAATGGGTGCAAGAAAGAACGAGGCGCGCGGGGAGACATGCATGTCTCCGACGTCGTCGCGCGGCCCGTTCTTTCCCGCATATTACTTCCAAGCGCCTACTACACGCGCGGGCTATCATTTTTTAATAACTATGATCGCATTTGTCAACAGACAGTGAATTTCACGGTGGAATGCGACTCAAGCGCAGCCTGACAGACTTGCTGCAATACTGTCTTCTCACAGGATGGGAGTGGTGGGATGTACTTATGGCGGCACACCTCGGAACACCAACAGGTTACAGATTTTGTTATTGCTTTCTTGAATAAAACAGACATCGGGAGAAATGGCTATTGATCTCGTGACAGTAACTTACAGTCGCAGAAAGTTTGTGGGCTTTTTATATCCCCAACTGGCCTATTTTTGGTCCTAACGGTAGAAGTCACTATACAGCCCTGGCTTAAAAACGCACAGTCGGCAGCCTAGTGAGCTCCCACCATATCATTGGTTACCATGAACGCGCAGCAGTACTCTTCATCGTGGAGTACACGGGTAACACTAACAATAGCCGAATCTCTACTGTTTCTCTTTTGTGTGGCCAAATCGCACCTTTACGCTTTTAAGTGTCTCCATACCTCACTGTTAGAAGTTTTAGGGCCTGTTTACATGGGTTCTCCACCTCCATATAAACAGGCCCTCAGCGCGCAAAGTATGAAATCACTTGTACGCAGTCCGGGTAACTGGACATATAACTGACTCTATAATGTGTCTAAAATTGAAAATCAATTCAATCTCTCTCTCTCTCTCTTTTAATTTGACATCGAGATTGAGATTCATTTCTGTATGGTTGCTTGCTTGCGGCTACACTTTGTCTGTAGTATGGGAATAAAATCTTTTCAAACCTGAACCATTTACAAATCAGCTTGTTTCAGTGAGGCAAGCCAGAGAAAAACGCCAAAAATCATGAAGCTTTGAACATCTTGTCAGTGTTGCACTTTCTACTCGTATTTTCTTTAAAATAATTTCACAACCCTCGGGGTTTGCGCGTTAATATTGGTCTTAGAAAGAGGAGGATAAAGCCTGTCCGGTCGTCGCTTCTCTCCCTCCGAAGAATGATTTTCGGAGGGAGAGAAGCGACGACCGCAAATACGTCTGTGGTCAACCCTCTCCGTTTATAAGCCCTTCTAAAACCCTTTATAAGCCGCTGATGATCGGCGGTTTACGGTTTATGATTTATTCTTTTATTCACGTCACGCAATCTGTTGTTGCATTACTTAGAAACACTAGATGCGGTTTCAAGACAACTAACAGATGAGTTCAGCATCCAGGAAATCGCTCAACAGCAGATTCACTGTTCCCGTTTCAGAGCCATCAAGGCTAGTCTCCACAAGTGTATGAAGGACGGTGCAGGACAGGCGGTTGACTGTTACGTTCGACAGCTTCTTGTTGCCATAGCAACGACCTTTAGGTCTCTGCTGAGATCATCGCACAGCGCCGCTGACCAGTTTGCTAGTAAGTTTTTCTTTTGTTGACATATTGAATGACGTGACTTCCCGGCTTTCTGAAGGCAAGTGCTGTTTGAATAGCTGGGTGGCTGTGTGGATTGTAGCCTGTTTCAGGTTCCAAGATACTGAAATCAGAACTCGTGAAAAGGCCCCCACTATCTGAGAGCCTGGAACAAACTTACTTGCAACCTGCCAAGAATGAAAATTCACAACCATAAACTTTGACAACGTTTTGCACAGGGGCTCAGACACAAAATCTATTGGTCCCAAATTCACATTTGGTGCCGCACCGACCGTACAGTAAACTTAGGCCCAACACTCCTGGTCCACTCTTAAAAAAGGAGTGAACATACTTACTTTCTGCTAGATGAATTTGACTTGCGATTTAATACCTTTCTCGTTTTCGGGTGAAAACTAGCACCGGCAAGCACAGGACTTGTCTTAATCAACCTGAATTTAGTTTGTTTAATAAATAAATAAATAAATAAATAAATAATGATTTAGAGGTAACACATCCACGTAGTGATTCTTCGTCTATCATTCCTGGTCGAATTGAAATTTGGAAATGTTGTTTTTTATGAGAGGGGAGCACTCCAGCACCCGGGCAAAAAGCTCCAGGAGCAAAGTAGAGAACCAACAACAAAGTCAAACCAGATATGGCTGGTAGGGATTTTAACCCGGGCCACCGTGGTGTGAGGCGAGTTCATGATCTCACCACTGCGCCATTCTTGCTTGCTCCCCAAGTTAAAGTTAATATTTTCTTTGTTCAATTTTTTAAAGAGATGTCAGCAAATCAGGATGTGGAAGTGGACAAGGTCATTCAAGTTTTGGATACACGGGAACTAGCTCTAGAAAACAGTAAGCCACAGAGACTAAGGAAATTAAAATACTCTACAGTATTGTTGGCAAAAAAATATGTTAAGTAGGGGTCTGTTGTTTAGAATTGAGTACCGACCTGTTGATTTCCTGATATAGTCGATTCGGCGAAACATTTTGAGAGCAGAAATTTTTGGATCAATTTAGGTTTTAGGGAAAATGCCCACCTACCTCTCCCCTAAGATGACATTAACACGTACTTCTCACTTATGGCAAAATGATGGCTTAGGGGAGGGGTAGGTGGGCAGTTTCCCAAAAACCTAAATTGATCCAAATTTTTTCCGGTAGCAGATTTTCAATCTGCACTTTGTAACAATGGTAGAAGTAACCAATAATTATTGGTGAAGTCTCAAGAACCCTTTAAGTGCCGAGAGTGACCAACATCAATTTTCTCCTTAACAATATCAGTACACAATCAAGAGAATAGGTTTTGAGAATTGATGAAATAATCACCTAAATCTAAATCTAAATATCGCTATGTCGGCAAAATCGTTTGGGACATCACGCCAACTCTAAGATAATAATAAATAAAACTATACTAGAATATACAAAACTATTAAAAACTATTAAAAAACTACTGATAAAAAGAAAACTAAATTAGTTTGCTTTTAAAAATACAGAGGGATTGGCTGGAAACAGTTTCTTCTGGAAGTTTGTTCCATTCAGTTATTGTCCTGGGAAAAAAAGAAAATCTAAAAATATCTTTATGTCCTTTCGGTACAATAAATTTAAAATCATGGCTTCCCCGGGTTCTCCTTTCTTTGCTTGTTTTCAAATAATCCCCCCAGTCCCCATCTAGGAGGCCGTGGCACATCTTGTACATAGTGGAGAGCCTTGCGTGTCTTCTCATTGTTTCAAGTGTGTCCCACTGTAGGTCTTGCAGCATTTCCGTCACGCACCTAAGGAAAATGCTTTGATCTTTTGTCTAATTCTCACCTTTTCTTAATATAAATGTATAGAGATCAGTTAGTAGAATTTGTATGTGGATATTAGGGCTTAAAGGGTTAATGGACAGCCATCTCTCAGTTTTCTCAGTCGTATTTTAGCTCGCCGATTCTCACTTTACTGTCTTACGTTGAGAAAATAGAGTGCCATAAACACTCAAACGTCTTACTGAATTTTGTTCTTTAAGCAACTGTGTTGTCCATGTTTCCTCTCATACAATGGCTCACTGACCTTGCCATGTTTGTGGTCGTTACATTTACAAACCATCATAACAAGGAATCCGCAGGGGTGAGTAGAGTGACAAGATATTTCGAGAAAGGTTGTCGGAAAAAATGTGCACTCGACAATCCCGAAAGGTAATATGGGATATGATCAACACACTTCCTGACAGTGTAGCTGTCGAGCCTATTTTTGTTGCATTCCTTTAGCACTCGCAATCATAAGTCCATGGCCTCTCGCAGTGCCTGATACAGACCTTGAGATAAGGGGGGCGGACCCGGTCATCCATACCCTTAGATAAGTCCATGTTGTATTTGCGTGCCATTCTTTCTCGTGCCATTCTTTCAAATTTCTTTGAAGAACAAAGAATCCAAAACCACCCGCAATACCTTTCGGGATTGTCGCGTGCCCATTTTTCTGACAACCTTTCTCGAAATAGCAGTATTCTGTAATGGGGTTTGATGTACGGGGTGGGCGTTAACCTGAGATTAGGCGTCACGGAAGACATAATAGAGATGCAGTCAAACCCAGTTCACGGATACGGACACCGGGGGGCATAGAAAGTGTTCGTATAACCGGGGTTCAATTTAGTGGGTTGGATTTAGAGAAAATTGCTGGCAGGTCTAGTTGAAAAGCTACTTGTGGAAGGTACTGTTAAGTTACTTTCAATTACACCAAAAAAACTACAGTAATGGCATGGATGCATGTAGAAAAAAAATTGGAACTGTTTTTGTTAGTTTGGTGTCGACTTTATGTGGCAAGACAAACTTATACGATCTTTCAAGGCGCTTACTTGATATGTCTGATTAACCCGATTTGCGACAAGTACTCTCTGCATGCGGGCAAGTTAATTTACTGATCATATCTGGTGTAAACGCACTTTCACTTGGTTTACTTGGCAATGTGGTTTGTGACCGTTTTAGGTTAGCCTGGTTCGTGACACAAGCACTTTGAGTACATTACGTGAAATGCTGATTCTCATTCGTATTTGGGGTCAAAGTACTCCAAATATACTCCCTACAATCACTCCATCAGCAGGTAAGTTTTGTTTTCGGTCTGTCTACTTGTCTATTTGTTCTTTGTTTTAATTAAGTTTTTATTTTGCCGTTGCTCAATTTAACATAGACCTTTCTCAGCACGAAAACGCAAACTAGACGCGTGTGTTAGGGGATAGGAAGGACGGCGTTCTTTAGGTTATCTTTGAGAGATAGAGGGAAGAAGCTGCGAGCAGCCTAATTTTAACTATAATAGGTCTTGTTTTGTTTGGCGACATAAACTGAATGCTGATTCAAGCAGACTATAAAAGACAAAATGACGCAAGTACAATATAAAAAAGTTAACATGGGCATATATGTTCACGCTTTCGCTCGGCGCTCTTTTTTTAATTTTTGACTGACACGTTATGGGGTATTTACTTTAGAAAAGAGCTCTTGCTTAAGTCTGTCACAGTAGTACATGATTAGTTGTCGACCTTGTATTTGTGCTTAACCCTTTCACACTGGTCAAAACTGCAACATAAGCATGGCAAGAACTAGCGTCCTTGGTATTTTCATACTAGTGATTGCCAAATGCTTATGAGTTCTTTGTATACCATTTTTCAGACAAGAACGAGTCCCTGGCCTTGTTATTCAAGATCTTCACAAAAATCTGGCTTCTGAGCAGACAAGCAAGCACAGATGAACAAGATACTGTTGTAGAGGACAGGTTGGCGGGTATGTTGTCATTCGCCTAAACTTGTCGTGAAGATGATTTTAACTGTGTCAGACTACGAGAATTCCGCTTTGTTCCATAGGCATAGTGTATTTGAGCGAGCTAAATACGCGAGCGAGCGTGAAAATGTTTCTCCTCGCGCGGGAGTTGAAAGAGAAGCTGGTGCATATGCATTTGCGAGTATAAAGCGGGGGGGAACTCCGAAAATATATTTATCGAACGCTAAAAAGAGGACGCAGACAGCTAGCTAAACACAGGTTCAATTAGTCATATTTGACTTAGTTAGAAGTCATCATCTGTGCGTTACACTTACAGAATTGAGTTGTTTTTATTGTTGCTGTTTTCCTTACAACTGTGTCATATTATTCACTTTTGTCTGAATTTGTCTTTTATAGCTGAAGCTGCTCCTCTTATCCCTAACTCACCGTTTCTTCAGAATATGCAAATACCAAATTTGAATAGAGGTATTATATTGTTAAAAATAAATACAAAATAATAATAGTAATAATGATAATGATAATGATAATGATAATGATAATGATAATGATAATGATAATGATAATAATAATAATAATAATAATAATAACAACAACAACACTCTCATGATTCATAGAACTGCAGTTATTAATACAAACAGTAAAACTGGTATACTGTCAAAAAATTATATATTCTATTCTCTATCACTGCGCTCAGCCGAACAGAAAATGTTTCTGTTATATTAAAGTATGAAGAGGCAAAACAACACAATAATAAATGGAGGGAGCCGCCAGCAATCGAGAGTTTGCTTGCAAGTCTAGCTGAAAAAAAAAATGGTGTACTGTTAAAAAGATATAGCTGTATTTACAACCGCTCGACCTCTGTGTTTCAAAGTGAAAAGTTGTCTCTCGTTTTCATTGATTTGTTGAAAAGAAGTCCCAATCCTTTTATCAGTTGCATCGAATAAAAATTTCCTTCCAGTTTATTCCAGTAGTTTTCCTTAGTATGTAAAAAAAGAAAAATTGATATTTGAGAATTAACGTCTTTTGAGATCACTCTGTGACAGTTCATATAGAAGGATGCTATCATCTGAGTGTTCAATTTGATTTCAGGTGTGTCTGGTAAAGCAGTAAGTGGACAAATCAAACCTGCGCTGTATCAGTTTGGTACCCAGCCTGTGTGGTGCACATCTAATCAGATCTTCCACCCATTTGCCTCCGCCATTTTCCCAATAGCTGCTGATGGCTCACACACAATAGATGTTGTGAGGAGGATCTTTTTGGATAAATCACCAGAGACTAAGCTAAAACGGTGTACTAGGTATGTTTAGGCTCAGTCGTTAGAACTTAAGCGATCATTGTGATAGCTGAGGTACGCTGCCAGAAGAGTTGAGTTCACTATCTCTTTGTCGCTAACATGCATGGTTGAGATCGCTGGACCTTTTGACCGATTCAAGCTTAACTAAAATATCATCTCTGTTAGCTATGTCCACCGTGCTGTAAAGTGTGTATGTCATCGGGGCGAATCGACTTAATTTCAGGGCAAACGACCTCGGGCAAATGGACTTTCGGGCGAAACAACCGCAATTTTAAATATTGTGGGTATTGTAAAGAGCAGCGCAGAAAGTTAAAGTAAGCTTGCGTCTCGATCGACGATAAGGAAAGTAAACAGGGAGACGAACGCATCGAGAATGCATGCAGACTAAAAGTTAACGGGACTGACAGCGACTCTATCTTCCGTGAATTTACTATAACTGCGAAGGCTTGCGTTCACATCGGTAAAGCCAGCTCAAAGTTGTGATTAGGTATAGCCTTGTTAGTGTTCCATCATCAAACGCACAAAAGAGCCAAAAAAATACAAACGAAAGTCCTGAGTCATTTAATGGCGCCCCTTTTAAAAGTGTTTCTTAAAAGGGCCTGCTCTTTGGCATTCTACAAGTTGGTTTATCAAATATGTGTGTCAAATTGCATCGCCGTAGGTTATGGGTTAAACTGCGTAGCGCGTTTCATTTTCATTTTGTTACATTACGACATCCATGTTCGTCTTCGCACAGAAGGAAGCACTTTTTCCTCCTAATCTCTTGAAGGGGAAAATATTCATGGTCGTGTCTCTCGTTTTGTTTTACACACACCTACAGCAAAAACCAAAAGTTCGCTTTTGTCATCTTAGTGTTTCTCCAGACGACGATCGGATAGTATCCCATGATGCATCTCTCTTTATCTTATATTATCACTTAGAATGTGACGTCATCGTTATTCTACAGCTCGCGCGAAGTGAAAAGTCGGAGAGCTATTGAGTGCTTTCCAACAAGTCGAAGTTCCACATCTGCTTTGGACAATAACGAGTTAGTTTATATTCACTGCGTCTCCAAGGAGAATTTCAGCGTCACTTTGAAAGACTTTACATGTACTTCACTGATCTGTCGTGAAATTCATGTCAGTTTTGTGGATGCGGTGGACGAACGAAGAATAGCTCTCGTCCCTGTGACTGTTGAAAATTCTGCATTAGACGATTTATTTGCCAGGAGTTTCTTTTAAACTCTAAGGAGTCGGATACTTAACTCTTGCAGTTTTCCCTATGGTACTGCGGTAGAGGGTTATGTTCAACCTTGTCCCCTCGTCGCCTCATACTCCCCGTGGAAGAGTAGATAGGTTGGGGACAAGGGTAGGTGACCTTTGCCTTCTCTCCCAGGCCTCGGATATTTTTGAAAACGAGACTAATTTGTCGTTTTCGAAAAGATAGCGTCCACACGTAGCGTATTCGAATCGTTTTCGCCCTTCCACAATAAAACAGAAATAAAATAGCATCCCTTACAGGGCATGCGTTGTATGGTCCATGTCACCTCCGTTTCCGTGCGTCCACACGAAAACGATAAGCCGGCCATTTCAAAAAACTCTACTCTGGGGACAGTTTTCGAAAATCTACGCGTTTGGTGCCCGAAAACGCCGTTTGCCGTCTGTGGGACAAGCTCTGTTTTCAAAAATATCCGGGTACGTGTGGCCTCAACTGTCGAGGGTGGAATTTCAGTTGCACGAGTTTATCACGTGTTGTCTATTAACAGGTGCAACTGTGTAGCCCTTGTGGATGGTGTCAGTGACCATGCTGCATCTAAGGTCTGGGAGCAGAGATGGGTCAGAGCATGCGTGTGCGGAGGCAGTTGGAAAAGATTACCCTTTAAAGAACCGCAGACGGTTGCCCATACCACTGTTTCAGAGTAGAGTCTCAGCACTTGTGGGGTGCAAGAGAAACGACAACTACCATGACTAGAGCTTAAACAGGAGCTTTCACTTGAGTAGAGAAAAGTGGGATTTCATCCACAGTTAACTCAAAACTTAGAACCACTTTGTACAGTATGAGAAATAGTACTTTAGGAAGCTACTACTCGATAACTATTTGAGTGGTCTCAGATTTTTAGAATTCACCCAGAGCAAAATGCAAGCTTAATACCAGCCTTTGAATAAAATTCTCCAGTTTCTCTGCCTGATTTTCTCACCTGATCCTGATCTGGAAAACCTGTTCGCAGGCTGGCGTAACACATCCTTGTAGATAAATACATAAAACCTTAACTCAAGTCAATCGCAGGATGTGACCGCTCAACAAAAGCAATCATTTTAAACTCTGGTAAAATTTAAAACCAATAAGTGCTTTGATTTTAATCATGTTGCAGGATCTTTTTGACAACGTGGCATGCCTAAGGGGATGGGGTCAAATAAGTTTTGTATTTTTTTTATCCTCAGTCACAAAATGCATGATTCATCTTGGAAAGTTGTCTTTCTAACAGTTTCTTAGAATTTTGCCAATGTCTCCTTATAGGTGTTGTTCAACTACTGACAGTGTTTAAGGACAATTTTGTCATTTATTTTGAATGTCATAAAAGGATTATTACTAACTGTTATTCTAAAATCAGTGTTGGTGTGATCTTTTCCATTCTGTAATACTTTTACACTGTACTTTACATGAGACCTTTCTTTAAATGAAAATTATAGTTATTCATAACATAGGATAGAGACCGAAAAATACTCTTGAAATAGAATATGAAATAGAATATTTTATTATCCTAAACCCTGAGCTTAACAGTCTTATTTGATGGTGTCTGATTTTGACTGCTCCTCACTTTTAAAATCTTTCAAATAACTGATCACATTATTATCAGTCTTTGTCCTTGATTTACAATCCCAGGAGAAAATATATTGACATTTTTACAGAAGTAGTCGAGATGGACTTTCTATGTTCTTTTTGAAATTTTCTAGCCATCTGGCAGCTAATTCATCGTCCACCATCCTACGATCACATGACAAGGTGACTGTCATCACACTTTGGATTTCCTCTTCTGCGGTGAGCACAGGATGGGTACCACCTACAGCCATAATGCAGGCCTGTGGTGGATTAATGACTGCAGAAAACTCAGTGATACCAAACATTCCAAGGTTGGAAATAGTGAAGGAGCCACCTTGGAACTCATGCAATTTTAACTTGCCTTCTCTTGCGCGGCTTGCCAGGTCCTGGAAAAAAAATAGAGGGTTATTAATGTGTAGCCTGAAAGCAAAATAATGTTTCCTGTGATATGGAAGCACAGAGTGCAAACATGTGGAAAAGAGGGTGGCAAAAGGGGAAGGGAAGGAATACTAATAATTTCTAGAGAAAACCTTACGATGTGCAAATGGAATTCTAACAAACATTCACACTTAATCTGTTTAGGAAACAACTTGAAAGCATGTATAATTTGGTTTTATCTATTGCCTCCTACTAACACGGAGTCTACATTGGTCCACACTGTATGGGCAAGAAAAATGCTTAATCAGACAAAAAAAACTGCATCCTCTCACTAAAATGTTCTCTTAACAGCTTACTAAACAAAGTCCCTGTAAAAAATAGTAAATGGTTGAAACAAAATCCTTTTTAAAAAGTTGATAAAAGGAAAAGTTGAGCCACAGGGTCTCCAACAGCTGCAGCCTATCTCCATCTCTTGAGTACTGATAGGATGGATATCAGGTATTGGAAAAACAAACATTTCAAGTGTATAAACCTTTTTCAGTCCCCCCAACCCTCCGCTTGTACTTCGAGGGATGTACAATGGCTGCAGAGGGAACAAACAACAACCATACGAAAGGGTAGGGAAATGAGTCATTTGGGTCAGTGAAAGGGCCCAAAGGGTTAACAGATGAATTTTATGGCGTTATATAGTCAAGAAAAAGTTCTATTTTCGTGATTGATTCCTATTTAAAAGAGACCGCCAGTGCACTTACAGCAGTTAAAAGGGATGCAAAGTTCTAAAGACACCTTGCATGAATCATTGAGCTAAAATTACAAGAAATCATGGACATGCTTCTATTACTGAATTATTACCTTGAGAACAGAAGAAATCTCTGCAACTTGTAGATTATCCGCTGTTTTAACAATCGGTGTTATAAGCCCTGAGTCAGTTGCCACAGCAACAGAGATATCTACATCACTAAGTAACTGAGCCTCTTTCCCATCCCAGATGGCATTCATGTCTGGAACCTGCCTCAGAGCCAAGGCCGCTGCTTTGATGACAAAATCGTTTATAGAAACCTTCACCTCAAGACCTTTTCTCAGTTCAATAAGATTGTTCATAACACAGTTTGTAGAAGCATAAGTGTGTGGAACAGTAGCTTTAGATTCCGCAAGTCTCTTAGCAATAGTACTCCTCATACTTGTGTTAGGTATGTCAATGTATTTTGTTGTGACAACTGCATCAGATGGTTTTGGTGAAACAAGCTTTGTGTCTGCAAAACAGAATGCAATAATATTATTAATCTACTGAGTTTTAAAGAAGTGAAAACTGTTATTAACAACAAGGCTTAAAAACCAGGGATTGACAATTCATAGATGTAAATCAACTCCAACCCCTACAATTTTACATTACTCATAGACAATAAGGTGTTAACTTAAAGAAATGAATAGGCTCCTATAACTTCAAAGAAAACTAATTATTGCACTGTTGCCCTCAAAAATTCAAATATTAATATTTTTCCAACCCCATCTATGAACCTCCTTTAATCTTCAATCACAGTAGTCCCTCCTAAGCGTGTTCTTCATGGAGCAGGTGCAGTATAATGTAGCTAGCATTCTTATTATATTAACAAAGATCCAAAATGTCATGGTGACCCAAGGCCATAGAGACCTGTAGCTAGTCTTGGCTCATTGTAAGGGTACATATTGCCCATTAATGCAACGGGTAAAGAATGGTTCCTCGAAATTCTTGGGCCTCTGAAAATTTGGGGCCAATCTCAAAATCTTGGAAGCATTTCTGATAGGTCTCCAAGTCTCGTTTTCTTAAGTCTCAAATTTTGAAACCGGGGTCTTGCAGTCTTAAATTTTCCATTCTATAGCCCTAATTATGCATCATAAAGAGACAAATGGGCCATAGACTCACTGTTTATTTCATATTTAATGGAGCCAAAATAGTCACACCCTTCTTCAGTTAGAATAATGGTGTTAAAGAGAAAACAGTGTACCTACCACTTGTCTGAGTTGAGGGTTTAGTTTTTTGGGGTGGAACTGTTGGCTGAGACAAAGCTGACTGAACATTTTCTGATGGTCGGGCAGCTTGCATAGGAATCTTAGCTTCTTCTGGTTTCATGAAGGGCTTTCCACCTTGAGCCACGAACCTCAACACATCACCCTTGAGCAGTCTTCCTTTAGGACCAGTGGCTGGAATGAGTCCAGGATTCAGCTGATATGTCTCAAGAAGTAGTCTAACAGCTGGTGATATCAGCACAGTGGTGTCACTGTGACCAGTACTGCTGCTCTGATCTGAAGAAACTTCTGTTTTGTCTGACTCATCTTAAGAGAACGAATGGTTAATATTAGTGCTTGATAGAACAATTTCATTTCTTTTTCAAACAAAACATAATAAAATTACAAGTGTCAGGGTTGACTGCAATAGACTCTCTTTTCTAAGAACTCTATAGGGTTATTGTCACCAATGCAATCCGAGACTCAGTGTTTATACTAAAGGCAGCCTAACTGAGACAATTCTTTTTTTTTTTCTCTCCATGATTAAGTTACTTAATCATTAATTAGAACTATGACAATAAGCCAAGTCAGTCTTTCAGTCTCCTGTCAGAGACTTTTAACTCAAAACATTTTTGTTTGTTTGAATCATGAGGCTTAAGAGGATCCACAAATTTTCATAAGGGGAGTAAATAATAAAGGGTGTATTAAATTGAAGGTCTCAATGTACCTGTATCTATTGGAACTTCAACCTGCGTATAGTCCACACCCTCCTCCACCATCAGTGCAATCAGTTTATTTATCTTTACATTTGTGCTTCCCTCTGGGACTATTATCTTTGCCAAAATTCCTTCCTCTTCAGTATCCATGGAGATTGTAGCCTTATCAGTTTCAATCTCACAAAGTACGTCCCCTGGGGAGACATTGTCACCTTCCTTTTTTAGCCACTTCACAATAGTTCCTTCCTCCATTGTCGGTGATAGAGCTGGCATGAGGATTTGTGTTGTGGGGACAGCTTGAAAATCATAAATGACAAGTTTCATGAATTTGTATGTTATATAATAATGTTATCTCCTAATAAGCCTTATCATTTAAAACTGGTGGCAGTTCAAATATTCTTTCATATTTATATTGATTGCTAGTCCTCTTTGCCTTGATCATATCCAGACAATTCCATTAAGAGAACTTTTCATGAATGCATCAAAAGCCAATCATCAAGATGGAAGAAGAAATGTAACTACATTTGTCACTATTTAAGAAACAAGGTATACAAATGTTTTTGTTCTCTTCCTTGTTTTTTGTTTTCTTTTTCCAGGGATGGACAAAGATCAAACATGAAAAGAGAGAAAAGGACGCTGCAGCTAGAACAAACAGTTCAAGTCTCATCTTGTAGTAAAATAAAAGGTTTGATTTGTCACTGAAATAGTTCCCTGGGTGTAGATAATAATAATATCAATATTAATAATAATAATAGTATTCTCAACCCAAGTTTTGGTGTGTGCATTCTACTCTGGACATCAAACCCTTACCCTATTGATAACAAAAAATACACTTATCTCCCACCCTCACAATAATCTACATTTGACAAGTTTGTTTGATTGATGTGACACAAACCTAGTCTTTGGAGTGTGAAGGCAAAAGCCCATACCCTGATATAATTAAAACTCTAAAGCCAATACCCCAGCAAAAAAGGCATTGTGTAGCCCAACACTCCCCCACATCCCCAACTCCATTGGAGTCTATTTTTGGACAACACAGGAGTATCGCGGAAATCACATTTAAATCTAAGTAACCACGCTAATAAATCGCCACCTGACCAAAGATCATCCTCTATCCAAAGAACAACAATAACACTCACGTTTATGCAACAATGCATTTGGAAATCTATGCCTTTGATTCCTCCTTTAATACTAAATCGATCAAGCCCAACCAGTTGAAAAATGACAGTTGTCTTTTCCTCCCCCCAAAAAACAGCGATCACAATGAGGTTTATTTTAGCCTTTTTTTACAGCCCACATCATAAGTTTTTATGGTTAGATTTGGAAGCCTACGATATTTGTCGTTTTCTGACTTTTCTGAGGTGTGTGATCGCCTTACCATGACGAAAAAGGGATGTTATGAATGACCTCCTGTAAACTTTGCTACCTATTTCTTTTGCTGCAGAGTAATTTGCACCTCCCAAAGGCGATGTTCCTCGAATACATCGCGTTGTCTGCAGCCTTCTCACCATCGCAGACCATCCCCGGGACGCCATGTTCTTTCCACCACAGCCCGCATGGGCTTATGGGAAAATATTGAATATTATGGCTCGTAGGGAGTACGGGGGAGTACGGGGAGTACACTTCGAGAGAGCTTCAAAGCAGGCAAGTGGGGAGGGGAGCTTGTTGTACATGGGTAATTCACTCTGTCTCGTGAAAACTGGACCTCTGTCCGTACCTTCGTTAAGAATAAATGTTAAAAAAAATCCTGTCCCATTGGCTGGCGAAATTTTACCGACGTTTTTATGGTGAGAAGCAGTTTCTGCCCCTATGGCCCACCATACAAACGTCTGTGAATTTGGCCACCTCGTGGATGCGATTTGTAATCTGTTCATTTAATATACTAGCCCATAACTTGGAGCTCCTAACGCTATTTTGAGTTATTTTGTTTAACTCAGTTAATAAAAACAACAATGTCTACCACGCCAGCTGCTAAAATGTATCCAGAAGCAGTCAAGTCACGTGACCTGACGTGACCTGACGTGAAATAGGTGGCATATTCTCCTGGTGTAACTAAGGACCATAAATAACTTTTCTTTTCTTTGGAACCACAACGTAATATTGGATATTGTGATCTGAAACACAAACTTGATTTCCGAGGTCAGAGGGTTAATCTAATGTCTCTCTGGTTGGCTGCTAAAATAAGCACGAAACAATCATAACACTCGCTTCAGTTATTCCGCAATCTATGTGGTGCAGATACACTGTATACAATGGAATCTCTCTTGAAAAACCTTAAAGAACACGTTACATGCTCGATTTGTTTGGATACCTTCACCGAACCCAAGACAATCGTCTGTCTCCACACATTTTGCTGCGAATGTTTGAAGAGACACGCTCTGACTACTCAGCGAGAAGGAAAGTTTCGCTGCCCCGAGTGCCAAGCACAAGTTGGCGTCCCTGAACGATTCGATCAATTACCGACCGGTTTTCTGCAGAATAGTCTGTTAGGACTTCTCGCTGTACAAAAAAGCGGCGATGGAAGTGAGATCAGTTGCGGCAACTGCAGGAAAAAAAGCGCTGAGACAAGTTTTTGTTTCAATTGCGGAAAGTTCATGTGCCCTGACTGTTTAAACGCACATGAACTACTTAGAAATGTGGCTTTTGACGGCCACAAAGTAAGAGCGATCAAGCATTTTCAAACTGAAGACTACGAAGCTTTACTGAAACGGCAGTCGTTTTGCTCTCAGCAATACCACGAGCGAGAAGTAACGAGGTTTTTTTGCCTCGAGTGTCGAACTTGCGTCTGTCAGGTTTGCGTGGTCACGGATCACAGGAATCATGCTGTGGATCCACTTGATAAGGCAGCTGATCACGAGAAAGCTAAAATCATGGCAGGAACCGAGCTGATGAAAGAAAAGGGAAAAATTTACGGTGATGTGATTCGGGAATTAGAGAAAACAATTTTTGTTCTGGAAACTAACATCTCTGCTGCTAAACGCGAAGTTTCCGAGACAGCGGAGCAAATCATCGCGAAGGTTCGAGAACGCGAGAGAGAGCTTATTACTACTCTCGAGGATACACGCGTAATTAGAACTAAGAAATTGAACTCTCTGAAGACACAAGTGCAGTCGCTGGTGAAGCAAATCAACCAAGCAATCGAGTTTGCCGAAAAACTGGTTCAACAAAGCGCCAGCTCTGATATCATGCAAAGCAAGAAGTCGTTGGAGAAGCGATTCGAAGATCTTATTGAGACCTCGGTTCCAACCGTTTTCTTTACGGGTGAAGTTTGTCTCCACTTTTGAACCAGACAGTTTGACTCTAGGTTTCGTAAAAAATAGTGAACGAGTTGTAGAAGGGTTGGAACAAGAATTTCAAGCTGGTGTGGAAGCAGAATTGATATTTTGTCCAAAACTGACCGATGAGACGGAAGGGAGTTTTGGCCTCGACGTTAACATAAAACCAGCCGAAAAAGTTGGAAGTTTGGTGACTTCTAAAAGAAGAGATGGAACTTTTCAGGTCAGGTTCACAACTAAAGTTCCTGGCACTTACAGCATTCAAGGATATGAAAATATCGGTGATTTCACTTCTTGGAGCATTTTCTTTGGACTTGCTCAGGTGAAGCAACGACGATTGGAAGTGAGAGAGTTCGATTTGAATGGAGAATTTCAACCACGAGGGATCGCTGTGAACTCTAATAAGGGGTTGATCGCTGTAACCGACGTGAATGGTCACTGTATCCTGCTATTGGATAAAGAGGGAAATTTTCTACGAAAATTTGGCTGTAAAGGAACGGATATTGGGCAGCTTAACTCTCCATCTGATATAACATTTTTAAACGATAGCGAGATTCTTGTGGCAGAAGAGTTAAATCATCGCATTCAGCAGTTTAATGTGCACACTGGAAAAGGAGTGAAAACTTTTGGAAAGCACGGAGAAGGAGTGGGTGAGTTTCGGAATCCAACAGGTGTTTATAGGGATGGTGAAGAACGTATCTTTGTTGCAGACTTCAACAACAGCCGAATACAGGTTTTTACAAAAGAAGGTGAACCAGTGTTTAGTTTTGGGTCGGGATTACTTCGGGGCCCCACTGCGTGTATAGTCCACCAAAATATGTTTATTGTTTCTGACTCTTCCAGCCAATGCTTAAAAATCTTTGACAATTCAGGAAACTTTCTCTATATGATTGGAGGAAAAGGTAGAGCGGATGGACAGTTACAATGGCCTGGGAGTTTGTGCATTGAAAAAAGTGGAAATCATCACAACATTCTCGTTTGCGACTACAACAGTCACAGAATTATACAGTTTACAGTGGAAGGTTCATTCACTGGAAAAACTATTCGTAAGCTACAAAATCCCATGTGCATAGCAGTAACTGAAGATGGAAGAATTTTAGTAACCTGTTCTAGGGCCCCCAAAATATTCATCCTACAATAAAAAGCCGAAACACTTCAGTAAACAGACTAATGTGAAAAGTTGGAAGTCGATTATTCGTCGGTCGGGTACATGATGAGGATAGGCCCGGGCCTACAAATTTTCGGTTTGATCGCTTTACTGCTTGTAATAAATTATGCGTTGTTAAGGTGAGCTAAAAAGCTTAAGAGGTCAAAGTGTTGGTGAGGTCAGTGCGTACTAAGTAATATGTTCAGAACTTGAACTGAAAGGTACTAAAATATACATGTACATGAATTTAATCTTAACTTAACAAATCTATAAAGTAAAATGTTCAGTATTAAGCGAAAGTGTAGAGATAATCTTGAGTCTCTCGATGTCCAGTGTTGTCGGGTTTCATGCTCATCGGCTTTATGTTGTGTCCATCATATCAAAAGTATTATTTTAAGATATGATATTTTACTTGCACCTTGCACCTATCCCGTAGTCATGGTTCACGACCTTTGGGGCGCCACGGACATAGCAACCCTCTCCCTCCATTTGATTTTGCTTTCAGCTTCTCTTAGGGCGTTGCAAAACTTCAGCCCCGTCCACTCAAAAATAATATTCTCCCAACGCTTCTTTTGTCGGCCCCTTCTTCTCCCTCCTTGCACTCTTGATACATGCCCAAACCACTTAAACTTGCGTTTCCTTACTGTGGTTAAGATATCATCATAGGGCCCAATGGCTTGCCTGATTCTGTCTCTAACTGTATCCTTAGTGACGTGATCCCTGTATGAGGTGCCAAGCAGTTTCCTAAAGCATTTCATCTCAGTGGCCTGCAATTTCTTCAGGGTGTCCGCTGCTAATGTCCAGGTTTCGCAGGCGTACAATAATACTCAGACTGAACTAGGGAGCGCATTAGTCTGATCTTTGAGCTTAGCTTAGTTTAGCTTATTTTGCTTACAAGTTTACAAAATGGAGATGAAGTTCGCCGAGTTTGTTATGCACGTGCGTGTTTTAGTAACCATATCCAGGAGTCAATTAACAAACTCGACCGCGGTTAAGCGTATTGGCAAATTTTATCACCAGTTTTTTCCCTGAAATACTCCTTGAAGTAATTAATTAATTGAAACCATCAATCCTAAAGCCCTTGCAAAGATGGGAAGTGTTGTGAATAAGGTCTATTGTTTTACCATTGTCTGCTATATCTGAATAAGATTTTCTTGTTCTCAATGGCTAGGCGTATCAAGAAAAGTGACATGAATTCGAAAACAATAGGCATTGTTCGTTATTGTTATCTTTGATCGTTTCTTGCCTTGTAGGAACAAAAACGATAAACGTGAAGAGAGAGTAAGGCATCGCGTTTACGGCAAACGGCAAACGTGAGATTTAAGTTGAGAAATTTTCAAAATGAGAAATGAGCAGATAAAAACAGCTTAAAACAATTGTTGTGGATAGAATTGGTAGGAATCTACCGATTTTCGTGTAGTTATGATGAACGATAAACAATAAGTAAATGGAAAACTTGGTCACGTGGTGCAAGTTTACGTTTGCCGTTTGCGTTACACGCGATGGTTTGATCATTTTACTGCAAACAACAAACTGCGGTTTGCTTTTAACGGTTTCACGTTACCTGTTCGCGCATATTTGGACCTGACGATTCGCAGGTGGCAGCTCGCGGCTGCTATGTTTGTTTTCATTCATCCACTTACTTCTATTTTAATTGAAAATTGTCTTCAAAATTACGTATTTTTGAAATAGAATTCGATAATCAATAAGTAAACGAGTTCTAACAAGTCGTGTTTCTTCTCAAACGTGGGATTGAGATGTTTTGGGGTACCTGTAAAATGGACTATTGCCTGCTTCTCCTAGGATTTTCGAACATCTAAAAATGGTAAAATTGCCCATTTTCAACGGATTTTTACGCTAAAAAGGTCGCCTAGAATTTTGCGGGAGCTTTTTTTCTGGCTGAAATTTTCGAACAGGTAAGTTTTGGGGCGCTTTCCATTTACGAAAAAAACCCGGAAATTTCCGTGGTAGCAAAAGTGGAATTTCCGATCGGTAAAAAGTTGTTCCATTTGGTCGTAAACCCCGGTACGTGGCCGGGTGCCCGACCGTGGACATGGAACTGGTACAAACTACAAGAAACGTCAATGGAACACGACATTCCGTTCGGAAATTCCAACCGGGAAAACGGGACCACCTTTTTAGATTTTCCACTTTTTCTGGGAATTTTCCAGTGGGACGAACCGACGAAACGTGTTCCATTTACCGCCGAACCGGAAATTCCGGAAATTTTGACTAAATGGAAAGCGCCCTTGATTCCTATAATTTTCGGATCACTAGACTTTCTGCTAGGAAATCCGAACAGATGAAAAGTTTATAGGGGATAAAAATATGCCAATATCCACCGTTTAAATACTAAAACATGTTTAACAATGCTATATTTAAGTGGTTTTGAACTATATTCTCGTTGGGTGCCCCTGAGCTTTGCTGAAGAATAACCGCTCACTCTGCTTTGGTGACTAAGTAAATAAATAAATAAAATTATCATTTCTCCGTTTGCCAAGGACGTTTTGGGAAATGTATGAAAAGAAAAATGAGCTCACCCCCGATGGGACTCGAACCCATAACCTTTGAATCCCATCTTTTCGAGGTAGAAGTCCAATGCGCTAGTCCATTACGCCATGGGGGTAGGCTGGGGGCTCCACTTTACTAGTATTGTCTGAGTCCAAAGTGGAAGCTGGTTGATTCTGTCTCATCGAAAACCTTCTATGCATCAAATTCCCTCGCAATCCTCTATGCTGCTCATTTCTTTTGGGGGATCGGGTGGTTTCAACCTCCTTGTTTTATGCAGTTGCTTATTTTCTTTCTGCAGAAAATTCTGTTTTTAGATGCCTTTATGTTGTTTATTTTCTTCATTGATTTGGTTGGGGTCATCTTCAGCATAAAGTTACTGAGCGATCAGTACATAGATTAGGACATAAACATATTGTTCTAAAAGAAATCTAGCAGTTCCTTTACTTGTAGTTGCCATGGTAATCGCGAATGAGCCTGTTCACGGTCTCATACTTTTCCGTAAGATTGTGAAGATTAAGCGCTAACCGGTGCGGGCCAAGGGGTGCATACTTACCGAGAGGACTGCCCGTTACACAAAGCGTTGGAGCTCGACGATCTTACGGAAAAATAGGGGACTGTGAACAGCCTATGTCCTTTTAAAGTTAAACCGTAGAAGCACGAAAGGTTACTTGTATCTTAGCTTTTCGATCCAGCCACCTTTCAAATAAAAATCGCGCGCAATTGGACTCTAGTTCCAGTCCTCCACAAAGCCCCTCGTGAAAAAAGAAGCCTGGCTTTTTTCGCTCTCCCAGACTGATATGCTTATATACAGTCTTATACTTGAAGCAAATTTTCCCTTTTATTTGAGAACCAAGTGGGAAGCTGGTTGATTGCACCCATCGTGACCTAGTATTGATAATGACACTTTTGGGGGGAAAGCCACAGGCTTGTAACGGGACGTTAAGACAACATTCACAGTGAGTACCTCACTTGGGCATATTGAAACTACAGTAGCATGCATCGCCTTTTGCCACTATCTTGTGGTTCTTTACAACCCAGTCATCTTGAAGCACTTCAGGAGAATGGAATCAAAACTGGTGAGTTTGTTTTGTTTTAGTCCTAGCCTTGTCCCTTAGAGTGGCCTCCCTGAAGAGGTTATTTATCGGAACATTTTCTCTGTCCCGGGATAGGGTATTTTAATTCGGGGCCATGGGGTCGCTTCACTTCAGTTGGCCCGAAGCTCTATTGTTTCAGAGTTGGGGTTCATTGTTAGTTTTGTTTGGGTTAGGGCTATCTATTGTCTTGTTTAAGCAATCCTGTGAGCCGTTCTTAGAGCTTCCGGCCCACCCCTTCACTTTGGGTCTTCCTTTAAAATTGAGGGTGCAGTCCTAAACAGGGTATGTGTCTTGGCATTTTTTGTGCTAAACAGGGTCAGGGCTTCAATCCCTCAGTGACTCATCTAGTCCCAAATATTGGTCAAGTACCCCCCCGGGATTTGAAGGGACACACTCCTAGGAATCTCGGCTCCATAACCTTTCCATGGTTGATTCTTTTTCCTATTTGTAACATTTAAACTTTTTCTAGTTTTGGAGGAGTGTACTTATAGAGGTTATAGGATATATGGATTTTACTTTTAAATTAGGTACTGGAATACTTACCACTGCAAGGGCTGAGTCTCCTAGAAATATTACTGGCATTTTTTTGCGGATGGCCTTGGTGGGAATATATATCTCTCCGGATCTGAAAAAACATGGCTACAGAAATCTCTCTTATACGCCCTCTGACTGAGTCTTGTAGTGGAGCATGTTTTTTTTTTTTCATAGTTACTTTTTATTTATTTAATTGGTACCGGATAGGCCACAGTAGATAGACTTTCATGAGTTTCTTGCTCGCTATTAACCTATTACCCCCCCCCCAAAAAAAATGTTTTTCATAACTTCCCATAATTCTCTCTGTATGTCAGTTTGAAATCAGCGCGCGTATTAGACTGAACTCGGCTCTCATAGTGGGTTGTCTTAGAGTTTTTTTGGCTGCCTTGAGCAAAGTTTTCCGGAAGGCATCATTAAGCCTTATGAAGGAACAACTCTCACGTCTGGCAAAGTCTGCTGCGTCCAATATCTTCTGGTATTTCATCTCATTTCGGGCTACAAGGGTGATAGACTGATCCCGGGCTTGAGACGGAAAGATTGGATATTGCGAGCTTTGTTGTTGGCAGTAACAAGTCTTTGGCCTCACAAAGTAGGTTCTAGGGTTGAAATCTATTCGGCGAGATGGAAATTCATGCTGATTTCTGACCAGGCCAAAGACTTAGTAAAAAATTGTTTGGAAGGCGGGGGCTGTATGTCTCCTTTTCAACCGCTGGTTTACATCCGGGATCTTGAATAAATTGACTGTCAGTGAGTCGAGAAAAGTTCCATGTGACGATTTATGTGGAGAAAGCGAGAGTTTTACGGAGTAATTTGACGATGTTTCGCCCGTGTTAAGTGTGGAGATATTATGAGTGG